TCCCCATTTGCTATCACACCTTGCTGTCCTCGCTTGCTGGAAGAAAGACAGGGAAAGGATGGTGACAGGGAAGAAAATAAGGAGATACAGAATAATGAGGGCGAAGGTGCAGTAATACAGAACGGAACGGGGGGAGGAGGGGGTGGGGGAAGAGAGTGGGAGGCAAGGAGGCAACCGCAAGTGAGTGGGAAGCAAGGAGGCTTTTGCAAAGGATGAGATTGACAGAACGGTGAGAGTGAGGCAGAGCAGTAACACATAGCGATGGATGGAGGATCAAAGGAGCAGGCCACAGCGAGTACGAAGGAGAAGGATCTGGCAGAGGAGACTCACCACATCACAGATGTTCCCTCTCACATATGTGCTCCTTTATCTCCGCTCCCACTTGTTTGCTCCCTCTGCGTCCTCCTCTGCTCCCGAGCACAGGAGATGAACAAGGAAAGCAAGAAGCAAAGAGGGCGATCGAATAAAGGTGAAAATCAGGATACGGCGTTGAAGAAGAGGAGCGGAACAAGAGAAGAACTTCAGAACCGGAGACTAGGGAAGCCGAGAACAAGATGACGGAAGGAGAACAACAGAGGGGGAAGACCAGATAGAAGGAGCTGCTCACCAGAGAGCTCCATCCTCCGGGGTTGCATGACCAGTGGCATCAGAATGGCATCAGCAGCAGCGCCAGCACTATCAGCACTAGCAGAATCACTGCATGCGCCATCACCATCACCACGAGGGCAGCAGAACCGCCACCAGCAGCACTCGCACCCTCCTACACCCACTGCATTCTTGCTGTTGGGATGAAAGAAGGGGAAGCACAGAGAGACAGGTGAACGAGGTTACGAGGCAGGGAAAGGAAGTGAGTCCACAAAAGAAAGGTAAAAAGCGCCACAGCACTTTTTTCCTGGACAAATGCATGCGTGAGAAACGAGAGAGCAAACTGCTGAGTGGAGATTCGCTCTTGAAGTGTACGCTTGGGGAGCTATCACCTGGGGAGGGTCCCTTGGTGAGAACGCGGGAGCAGCTGGAGGAGGAACGAGGGGCGGCGGGAGGGCAGCAGGCGGGTGGAGAAGATGGGTGCAAGGCGCTGCTCCTCCCATGTTGCCCCCAGTGGTCGCACTTGCAGCAGCACCCCTCGCAGCAGCACCCATCTCAGCAGTACCCTTTCCAGTGGCTGCCACTGCTGCCCCTTGCTGCTCACACTCCATTGGCGTGGAACAAGTGATAGAGTTGAGGATAGGGATAAGGACACAGACGGGATGCAGCAAGTAGGTCCACAGACGGAAGGCAGCAGTGGAACAGGAATTGCAAGCGCCAAACCAACAAGGCAGGGAAAACAGAGAGGCGATGGTAGCACACAGCACTAGGGCGCCGAGCTAGCAGGCAAATTTGGAAGGGACGCAGCATGATTATGAATGCATTCTACTCTAACCCCCTACGACTCTAGTATGAGCTCAAGCCGCCCCAGTGCCATGCGCTACCATCGCCAAACGCCGCTCATCTCTCACTCAACTTTTGATTGCTCCCATTCGAAAATGGGCTCATTTGTTTCGAGCACGCGGTGACGGAAGAATGCGGGAATGTGGTACTTAAGTGGGCAATGATCAACACAAAGCAGAAGCGGTAAGGATGGCAAGGCCGAAGGGTGAGGGAACTTAGCCGTATGGGGGTGATTGCAGGACAGTGGCGTCAGGCTTCCAGGAGGCTCGCACACCGCTGTGACTGCCAGCCGTGCATCATCCCACCGCCCTCCCTCCCCGCACCACGCTGCCATAGAACCGAACGAGATGGGAAGGAGAGCAAGAAAACAGAGCAGCGGAAAGGGACCCAAGTAGTCAGTAGAAGCATGAAAGTAGTGAAATGCATGCAAGGTGGCAGAGATAACAAGAACGATGAGTAGAGGAAACGAAGTTGAAGATAAAAAGCACGTGGCACTGTGACGCTGTGAAAGGGGAGGCGATGGTAGCACACAGCACTAGGGCGCCGAGCTAGCAGGCAAATTTGGAAGGGACGCAGCATGATTATGAATGCATTCTACTCTAACCCCCTACGGCTCTAGTATGAGCTCAAGCCGCCCCAGTGCCATGCGCTACCATCGCCAAACGCCGCTCATCTCTCACTCAACTTTTCATCGCTTCGTTCGAAAATGGGCTCATTTGTTTCGAGCACGCAGTGACGGAAGAATGCGGTACAAAAGTGGGCAATGATAAACACAAAGCAGAAGTGGGTAAGGATGGCAAGGGCGAAGGGAGAGGGAACTTAGCCGTATGGGGGTGCTTGCAGGACAGTGGCGTCAGGCTTCCAGGAGGCTCGCATGCCGCTGAGACTGCCTGCCGTGCGTCATCCCACCGCCCTCCCTCCCCGCACCACGCTGCCATAGCACCGGACGAGATGGGAAGGAGAGCAAGAGAACAGAGCAGCGGAAAGGGAACCAAGCAGTCAGTAGAAGCATGGAAGTAGTGAAATGCATGCAAGGGGGCAAAGATAACAAGAACGATGAGTAGAGGAAACGAAAGTTGAAGATAAAAAGCACGTGGCACTGTGACGCTGTGAAAGGGGAGGCGATGGTAGCACACAGCACTAGGGCGCCGAGCTAGCTGGCAAATTTGGAAGGGACGCAGCATGATTATGAATGCATTCTACTCTAGCCCCCTACGACTCTAGTATGAGCTCAAGCCGCCCCAATGCCATGCGCTACCATCGCCACGCTCATCTCTCATTCAACTTTAGTTTTTTTCAAATATGCTGTGAGGAATAAGCGCGGTACAAAGAGGACAAGGGCGAAGCAGAAGCGGTAATGATGACAAGGGCAGAGTGAGAGGGGACTTAGCCGTATTGGAGAGCTTGAAGCAGCGAGGCAGTCATCGTCCCAGTCAGCAGCAGTATCCATTCTGCTGCTTGTATTGCATCTCTGAATGAGAGTCACTCGTTGCTGTTGGTGTCATTTCGACCACCGTCGCATTCGCCTCTGTTACGGCCACCGTTTAGATCGTCACCGTGAGATATCAACATCTCGATAGTCAGCGTCGGTAAGTGTCGCTTCAGTCGTCACCACGATAAGTCACCATCTTGATCGTCACCTTTGGAAAGCGTCGCGTTGATCGTCACCGTAAGAATTCCTGATCAATCCTCAGCTTCACCGACGGAAATCGTCACTTTAATCGTCTCCATCGGGAACCGTCGATTTGATAGTTACTTTGAGGTATCGCAATCCTAGTCGTCATCTTCGAAAAGAGTCACTTTAATTGTCGATGCTAAAAATCGCCGCCCTGCTCGTTACCGTTGGAACGCGGCACTTCAATCGTCACCGTTAGAAGTCACCATCTCGATCGTCACCGTCAGAAATCGTCGGTTCGGTCGTCAGCGTCAGTCATCGTCTTTTTTATCGCCACCTTCATAAGCGGCAGTCGCTAACCGTTGTTGGAAGTAACTGTGTCGTTCGTCACCGTCAGGAGACATCCGCTCAATCACCATTGGCGACGTCTCGCTTTTCGAAGTCCGAAGTATTCATTGCTGTACGTCGTACAATCATCCGCCGTGTAAAACAGCTGTCGCCGGCAGGATATCAGCCTCGGTCATCACCAAATAGAAACGTTCTCGCTGGTGAAGAGCGGCGTCGCCTCGGTACTTCAAAAAGCGTATGGGGATAGGAAGAAGATTTACGAAGCGATCTCGGCAAACCCCCTCTCGTCAGATGTCTACAATACTTGAACTAAGTTGTTCTGAATACTGGAATGATTTGAAATAGGAACTGCAGTCAAGAGAGTAATTGCTGGTTGGCGGAAATGAAACTGCTCCGAATGACTACAATTTCTAAGCTTCGAATGTCACTGTCCGATAATCAGACGTAAAGCTCGGTTTACTTCTTAACGATGACTACGACTAAGGTTAAAAGGTTACTGGTTCGCGTCAGCCATGAATTGCAACGATTAGTTATTTCCGTATTGACGACCTTGAGATAAACGTATTTGAATATTACGACGACTAAGGATACGAGTGAGAACCATAAATGGTTCGATACAATATCGCGACCGCCATGGATTTCGGCTTAGCAAGCTAATCCTCGAGATCGGAGTGAACTGCTGTGACTAGGTTAGGAGGAATGGCATTTAAGGAAGCTGGAGTATGGACTGCAGAAGGTGAGCGAGCATCACTGAAAGAAACCATGTTCAGAGGTAAAATCCAGGGGAACTAGACGGATTTAGAGTGGTAACACACGATTCACAGGAACGAAGATCCATTTCTCCTGCTTGGGTGGAGGGCGCCGCACCATCGGCAGAAGGCGGCAAATTCGTGAGAGCGTTGACGACGGGGATACCATTTCGTTATCTACGTTTCGCGAAATATCAGATTGAGTTATACAGTAAAAATCCTCCGCAGAACGGCGGCCCCGCAAGTCCGCCGTTCGCGCGGTAATCGTCTGTCAGAAGAATGCTTCTGACACGACGACGCGATGATGTAATGTAGCGCCATGACCCATCAAGTATATGCGCATATATCCTAAATAACAACTAAACAGTATAGCTATATGCTACTCTTTGAGTATGGAAGTTGCTGCATTTTTCATGCATGAATTGCAGAAAAAATATGTATTGAAGGAAACGGGTGACGCTTGGGCGGGAGCGTAAGTGTTGTGAGATTACCAGTGTTGTGGAACAAAACTCACAAGGCAACCCAAGCTATCAACCATCAACCTACACATGTGAGACACTACCTTAGTGTTGGTGGCACCTTGGATACTTGATCCTTATGTTAGCTCTCACTTGAGAAATTGCCCTGATAGAGTTGTCCACCTTCACACGCCATCAAATCAAGCTTGCAAAATAACACATGGTAACAGCGTGCATACAACGTGGAGAGGTTACACGACACAACACACAGGCGGCAGAGATGCACAAAACGTGCTTCCGCCGCTGCTACCACACCGAACATGATCGGTGCACATGTAAAACGTTGGCAAACGTTAGTATATTATGTTTTCTCATGTAGAACGTTGATGGCAGAGCCCATGGTCACAGATCAGCATGGCCTGGATACCTAGGGAACGGAATAGCATCTCGGATGTTATCAATGCCTGTGGCAAAGAGAATCATTCTTTCAAAGCCCAGACCAAAGCCCGCATGGGGCACTGTCCCGTACTTGCGCAGATCCAGGTACCACTCGTACAACTCCCGTGGCAAGTCCATCTCCTCCAACCTGGGAAACAAAATGGTTGAAATGTGATGTACGTGGAAGTCAGTGCCCCGTGGCTTGACTGAAAGTGTTGATGCGGCTTGGCCAAAAGCATGCACTGCTGAGAGAGTGATTTTGATTCGCCACCATCACCAACGTGGCAAGACAGGAAGCAAGCACATACCTCTTGACCAAGACGTCATAGCGCTCCTCCCGTTGACTCCCTCCTATCAACTCCCCCACCTGCACAGACAAGCACGTTGTCAAAAGGCATTGAATGGGTCACATCAGATTTCAAAAAAATCGAACTTATGTGTCCATGCATGCCAGGGTATTGCAGCAAGCCCACCGACCAGCTTCTCTCCCTAAAGTGAGCATGGCTTACCCCGGGCACCAGCACATCCATGGCTGCCACAGTCTTGCCATCATCATTGAGCCGCATGTAGAACGCCTTGATCTCCTTGGGGTAGTTGTACACTATCACTGGCGTCTTGAAATGCGTCTCCGCGAGGTACCTGCCACACCATGCCATACCATACCATGCCCATGCAATGCCAACATGTGCCATGGTAATACAAAACAATATGGAACTTAGAGTGACTGCCAACAACAACATTGCTGCAAATCAGCCTTAAGCTGTAGTACCCACCTCCCTCCTCCCCCTTATTCATGGCAAACCCCCTTTCTCCTTCTGTCTCACCTCTCATGCTCACTCGCAAGGTCGATACCCCACTCCACCGCATTCTCAAACTTCTTCCCTTTCTTGATCGCCTCTTGCAGCAGCTCGATCGCCTCGGTGTACGTCACGCGGGCGAAGGGCGACGATGCCACGTGTGCGAGGCGGTCCAGAGCGGTCTTGTCAAACATCTTGGTCATGAACTGCATGTCATCGTGACAGTTGTCCAACAGCCATTGGCAGAGAAATCGCACATAGTCCTCCGCGCATTTCATGTCATCCTGCATGGAGTGGTTGGTTGGGACAGGACACACGCAGCACATACACATCAAACCATGAGAGACTGTGCTGAGTGGAAGGAAAACAAGCCAGGCCCAAAACAAGCACATTTGACACCAGCAATGCAGACGTAGGATTACACCTGCTGCAAGTACAGACACCTCAGCAACATACCTCCAGGTCAGCAAAGGCAATCTCGGGCTCAACCATCCAGAACTCCGCCAGGTGGCGGGTTGTGTGGGAGTTCTCCGCACGGAAAGTCGGCCCGAACGTGTACACGCTGCTCAGCGCACACGCGTACGTCTCCACCTGCAGCTGCCCCGACACCGTCAGGAACGCCTGCCGAGCAAAGAAGTCCGCTCCAAAGTCCACGGGCCCCTTGCCGTCCTCCCCTTTCCGCGGCAGCCCTGGCCGCATCTTCGCCCGTGCCTCTAAGGCAGCTAACGCCTCCTTGGCCTTCGTTAGCTCCGCTACGCTGGCTTTAATCTCCTCCTTGCTCGCCTTGGCTTCCTTGAGAGCCTTCACCGCGGCGCCCGCTGCTGTCACGGCGTCCTTGGCGGCCGCCACGTCAGCGTCCGTGGGAGGGGGGTTTTCCAAGAGGGCCTTTTCGCGGCGCTCGGTTTCGGCGATGAGGGTGGTAACGTGGAACATTTCGCCAGCCCCTTCGCAGTCGTTGGTGGTGACGATGGGCGTGTGCACGTAGAGGAAGCCGTGCTTCTGAAAGAAGCTGTGCGTCGCGAACGCCAGCGCGTTGCGGATCCGCGCCACCGCCGCGATCTGCGCGGGGAGAGCGGAGCGCGGGGACGGGACGGGTGGGAAACGCGGGGGAAGCGAGGACAGGGGGAGCGCGGGAAATGGATGGGAGGAGGGAGGGGCGAAGCGGCGTGAAGATGAGAGGGGGAGAGCGTGGCGAACGGGGGTTGCAGAAGGGTATCCGTTTCTTCTCTCCGATAGCCCAGCTCGCCACGTCAGCATTGCGTCATACCGTGTTGGTGCGCGGTCGCAGGTGCATGACGGATCGCAGGTACTCGAGCGACAGCTTCGTCTTGGCGATGGGGTACACGCCAGCGTCGCACGGACCCACGTGGAGCACTTTGCTGACGTGGACCTCCACCAGCTGCTTCGTCCCCTCAGGCGTGCGCTTCAGCTCGCCCTCCACGCGCACGCACGTGCCCGTCGCCACCAGCTCCCCAATCGCCGCCACCTCAGCCTTCACGATCACCTGCGAAGGGACAGTGGTGGATCAGGACGAGACGGCTCGATGCCACGAAGAGATCCACGTCAGCATCACGACCTCGTGTGAGAGGGGGACGATCAATAGAAACCTGGAGCTTGAACACTCCATGCAAAACCCCCGTCGACCTGCGCGAGCACACGGCCGGATTAAACAGTTGCTGAATTGGATCGCGCGAGCAACGGAGCACGTCAGCGATCACCCGATTTGGCGAATCACACAATATGCTAGCACGCGACGGTCACTGCTCGCTGATCGCCGGTCCTTGACGAACACACCGCGAGCGACGGTGTACGATGGTCTGCGACTGCGTGCGACACTGTGCGACGGTACCTGAAGGTTGGCGGGGCACGATCCGTCGTTGAGCTCTAGGAAGGCGAAAGTTCCCTTGCCCTGCTCTCGCCCAGTCTTCACCCATCCTCCCACCACTAACGTCTGCCCAACTAATGACAAGCCGCCATCTGGTGCACCGAGAACGGTTTTGATCACGACCCTTTTTGAGTATGGAGCGAGGATCGAGACAGCGGGAGCGGGCTGCGTGGATTCGCCATTACCGGCTGGAGATGCTGAACCGTCCGCCATGGCTGATTGAACTGTGACTGAATTAGTGAGAGCGACGAACCATCAAACGTGACAAGTAAGTTTTATATTTTATGGTCGGCCCATATAACAAGCGTTCATGCCGGAGTGGTTAACGGGACAGACTCGAAATCTGTTGGGCTCTGCCCGCGCAGGTTCGAATCCTGCTGAACGCGTTCTCTGTCCGTGCACTTTCGTTTTGTCAGTTTTTGTTTGTTGCAGTTCCCGTCGTCATGAAGCCGTGTGCAATTTGTTCGCGCGGTGCTGCTCTTCGCACTACAAGTCCTGTTCGCCTTCGGGAATGTTTCAGGCTCGAACCTGTTAGATTGCAGGATGCTATGTCTTCAATTCAACCTTTCCGTCTGGCATACTGTCCCGTGATACTGTATGATCAGATTCTGAAGCTTGTCAGGCATTGGGAATGTCGGCTGTCACTGTCGCTGGAACTGGAGTTATTTGAGCAAGCCTATCAATGAGCGAATAGGAGAATGCTTGAGGCAGCTCTTGGATTCATGATTCCTTATTGCGACGCGACCAGTGCGTGTTGGCAGCTCGTCATGACCACAAACTACTGCTACTGTATTTCGTTAAAACAGTAGAGTAATACCTCCTCACGCATGCGAAGGACGAATTTTGTCAAAAGAGTCTGTGAGACGGCTCGTGGTTTTTTTTTAAGACGAGACAGTCGGTGTGGGCCATGTCGTAGAGTCATTTGCACCACTGAATGCTCTGAAATCGCTATGAGCTTCCCGTTAGTCTAGTCGCTGAAGCGTGCTGCGCCTTCCTCATGCCATGACGAGCGTCCCATCGTCCTCGTCTCCGCCTGGCTTCGATCTGTCGGCCACCGGTTATTCCTTCCGACCTCCCCTGACGAACGTCTGCACCGCTCTCGTATCGAATCTGTCTCCATCCTCGATATGGACGTGTTCAGTTTCAAGTCAATCGAGCGTCGTCGTCGTGGATTTGTGGCCGTCCGATCCAACCTACCTGTCCAACGAGCCAGCTTGCAGCAGTTATCTCCTCATTCCTGCAGAGAACGCATGGGATGTGACTGTACGAACGGCGATTTACACGTTGGCGTTGGTGTACCTGTTCATAGGCCTCGCTACAATCACAGGCAAATACATGGAAGCTATGGAGAACATCGTTCAGCAGACCCGTAAAGTCAGACTCTGGTGCGTTTGGAAGAAAGAATTCAATTTTACTCTGAGTTCAACGAAAGGCTATGAGCAGAATATATTTTTCTAACGCGGAATCTGTTGATAGCACAAATTCTTCCACTGGAGAACGTCATGCTGCATGTAAAACAGTGAAACAGAAATTATGGAAGGTCGATATTTTTACAGAGGGGCTTTGACATTATCGTGTGCTCTCTTTTGTTTTCTTTTTCCTTGAACCCAATTTGTCATCAGGGACCCTGTGGTTGGTAGGTGGATGGAGTCGGAGCAGCGCATGTGGAATCCAGCCATCGCTGACATCACGCTGCTGGCGCTGGGCACGTGTGCGCCTCAGATCTCCCTCGCAGTCATTGACGCCGTCAGGCGGCTGGGCAAGACCGGCGGACAGGGTGAGCGTGGTTCCAGGTCGTATGGTGAGGTGTGAGTTACAGACTCACAGGAGAGAAAGAACAGATTTCAACGTCCATGCCTTCAAACGTGTAAAAACATCTTCTCTACTCTCATCTCTTGTCATCCAGACGGCTTCTGTTGCCTAGTTTTGTGCATCTATTCCCTGTACTTTCATGTGTGTAGCATTTTTTCCACAATTTGTGCTTTCTTGCGACTCATTTGCGTGTACTCCTCTTTTTCCCTCCCCCGTGTGCACCCAGACCTGGGAGCAGGCACCATCATAGGCGGCGCAGCCTTCAACATTTTCCCCATCCTGGCTGTGTGTGTGCTCGTGCCTCCTGCCGGCACTGTCAAGCGCATTTCAGACGTGGGGCTCTTTCTTGTCGAGTTCCTCTGGTCGCTCTGGGCCTACGTGTGGCTCTACATCGTGCTACAGGTGAGCCCAGGAGGCTGTGTCTCAGGGATGGCTGTGTTTTTGTGCCACACCCACCATGTGTTTCCATGTCAAGATGCATGGCAATGGCAATCAGATTTCGCTGTCGTGTGAGCCACCTTCAAGCTCTCCAAGCATTGAGGCTGATCCTGCTTATAATTCTCTTTCACGTCTCTTGTTGTTTCCACCTGGTGTTCCTCCTGTCCAGGTGTGGACGCCAGGCGAGGTGACGATAGCAGAGGCGGTGATGACAGTGCTGCAGCTGCCGCTGCTCATGCTGCACGCATACGCCCAGGAGCAACGCTGGCCCTTGATAGCCCTGCCGCTCTCACCACCCACCAGCCAACCTCCCACTGCTTCCTCCGAAGCCGTTGCTGCGACAGTAGGAGCTGCTAGCTCAGCAATGCAGGAGGGTGTTGAAAGCGCAACTGTACGAAGTGCTTCCTTTACAGATAATGGTATGGCAGACAGGGTTGTTGCAGGCAGCGGTGCAGCAGTATCTGGCCTGCATGGAGATTTATCTCCAGGTGTTGCCTCTGGTCCTGCTATGGAGGGCCATGCAGCACTGGGCGATTTTTCCACTCCAAGCAGGAGCAGGAGGAGGCGGAGGAGCAGTGAACACGATCGCAGCAGCAGGCGCAGCAGTGGTGGTGGTGGTGGTGAAGGGGGCATGGGGAGAGGTAGTGGCAGGCAGAGCCTATCGTCTCAGGCGGAGGACAGAGAGTGGGACGATGCGGAGGAGGATGAAGAGGTGGGGAGGGGAAGGCGCAGCTCTGGGCAAGCGTTTCAGCAGGGGGATGTGGAGGTGCTCCCTCAGCCAGACAGCCATGCCCAACTCATTGCTTCTAGGCATTCACATGGGAGCGATGGCAGCAGCGGTGGGACAAAGGGCGTGTCGTTTGGCATGCGGTGGAGGCAACAAATCGTGCTCTCCATGATGGTGTGTTGCCACGTGATGCCTGTTATGACATGTTGGCATGTGCTGACATGATGCCATGTGCTGACATGATGGCATCTGCTGACATGATGGCATGTGCTGACATGATGGCATGTGCTGACATGATGGCATGTGCTGACATGATGGCATGTGCTGACATGATGGCATGTGCTGACATGATGGCATGTGCTGATGCGAGGGCATGTGGTGACATGACTGCGTATGCTCACATGCGTGTATGTGATAGGTATTGTAATGGCATGTTGTTCATGTCCCTGATGTCTCCATGGGTATTTTTGCCATGGCCCCCACTTGCATAGCCATCATCAGCCCCCCTGTACAGCTTCAATAATGATAAGGTCACCACTGTACTAATTATTACCATGTTCTATTCTACTCTTGTTCCCCATTGCCTGCGATGCCCTCCACCCCTTCCGATCAATTTCCTGTCCCATCCTATCCCCCTCTCTCTCACCAGCTACACCCATCGGATTACAATGATCTCACAGCACAAGGCAGCATGCACCCCTCACATGAGCAACCAGCAGCCCGTAAAGCCCAGCCAGTGGCAGCGAGGGTGCGGCGGGTGGTGGTGCAGGCGGTGTGCTTCTTGTGGAAGGCGCTGTGTGCGGTGCTCATCCCCCCGCCTGACGCGCTGCACGGCTACCCCGCCTTCATCACCAGCATCCTCGTCATCACCCTCATCGCTGCCCTCGTTGTCGAGCTCGCCTCGCTCTTCGGCTGCGTCACAGGTGTGGTAGGAGTTATACATGAGGTTACACAGGAGTTATGAACATGAATTCATTCTGCGTGCCCACAAGACAAAGAGCTGCCGCCTGTCGCTCCTGAACCCATGTACATGTTTTTCCTCCCTCCACCCCCCCTGCCAGGGGTGAACTCATTCGTGGTATCCATAACGCTGCTGGCGACGGGCACATCCATCCCGGACCTCATAGCCAGTGTGGTGGCAGCAGACCACCTGCCCACTGCTGACTCCGCCATCGCCAACATCAATGCCAGGTCAGCGCTCTCCCACTGCTGCTGCTTGTCATGCCAGTCTCAATGCTTAATGTGGTGATTCGAGTGTGGATTGCCACAGAGGTTAGCCAAGGCTTGTTATCTTCTGCTATTTGAACGCACCGCTTTACCTGAGCTTTCCTCTATGCCTGGCAGCAATTGCATTATTGTTTTCTCTGGAATGGGTATTCCATGGCTCATCACCACTCTCTACAATGAGTTTGTGTTGGGATCAGCAAACAATGTGAGCACGGCTGGCCTCGGTTTCTCCATCATTGTTTTTTTCTTAACAACTGCCGTGTGCATGGCGATCTTATTCCTTCGGAGAATCATGCTCGGAGGAGAGCTTGGAGGGCCCAGGCCTCTCGCTTGGCTCTCTTTCTTTGCCTTCATGCTGCTCTGGATTGTCTACATGCTGCTCTCTTCACTGAATGCATATGGAATAGTTGGAGATATGGTGTAGATGATCTCACCCGACTGTCGATAAAAACCCTCGTTTTGAATATCTGAAGTTCACCACCATCGCTAGGACACTGTGACGGGTTCACGTTTGGCCTTTCATGGTAAAAAGGGGCATGTTTGTGTGATCCACGGGGGCAGCTTTGTTTTATAGTTACGGTAAGAGTATCTCATAAGAACGAATACTAACATTTATTTGTGATAAGCACTGCATTTCATAAGGTATCTGTGCAGTAAACAATTTGACTTGTTCCAAGGTGGATGCACTTATGTGGTTCTGAAACACGTAATCAGATTCACAATATTTATCCTTCAGCGTGTTTTACAGTAATGGATCGACTTCTGGTGAGTAGGTCATTCCGCATCTCTTCCAAATCTGTTCTGCGTTGGCTGGACGCAAGGGTCTGCACATAAAGGAAAGACTGCCCAGAACAGATAAGACTTCGCGAAAAACTGGCGGAAATTTCACTGATGGCCAGCACAGGCAGAACTCTGGGCAGTCCATACTAATACGGAGACTTTTGTTGCATGGAACTTGGGACGAAAGACTCGAAAATATTCATGTTGCAGGGGAAACCTCTTTTGAAATCACCCCCTCAACACAAATCCTGAGTTGCTTGAAGCGGCCCAAATTACCTGACAGCAGCTGCTAGAGGTTGATCTCTTTCCTCACTTTCAGGCTGAAGCTAGGTTTTGGTGGTCCCTGAGACTGGTGCTCAGATCCATGCCAGTGCGTGTGGCCAAACGTTATTCTCCCGGCGGCGAAGGCGCGGGTTGCGGGATCCTCATTTTCGCAACTAGCGCTTCGGCCACTGCGGTCCCCACTTTCAGCGAATCATGTGGCGTTTTCATCTGATTTTTTGCCTAATCGTTAGCCCAACGGTTCTGCCTCACCTTGGCGCCAACAGGCTTATCTCTTTCATGTTTCACCACCAACGCGCACTCCCTTTGGCCCCATTCGCTGCTCGGTTCTTACCCCACTCACCTCCCATTCAGCCCCAATCCGTGCCCCTCCGTTCACCCGTCAATTTCCCAATTCACCATTTCCCAACCAATTCGCCTCGTTCTCGCCTCCTGATATTCTCCTAGTCTTCCTCATTTCGGCATTACGTTCAAACGATACATTCAACCGTCAGTCCGTTCGATCGATGGGCCAACCGCTGCAACATCTCAACCGCCTTGGAGCAACGTTGCTGACCTTGCGCCGAGCTATGAACTAGTGGAGCCATGTCGCCGCCGAGCTGACTGCTTTGAGACGGCGAAAGCTCAGCCTATTTTCATTTGCAGCAACGCATTGTGTAAGTTTTCAAAATATCGTTGTGACGCGCATGTTTCCTGTTGCATTGTTTGCTTTGCTTTCTGCGCGGCGACCATTATTCTGACAAATGTTTTCTACCCGCGCAGGAACCGAGTGTACAAGACGACTCGAGATCCTCGGCAGAACGCGAAGAGAGACTCAAGACGTGCAACGAGCAACTTCAACACGCCTCCAGTCAACGCTGCAACGACAAACACGCCAAGATCCGCGACGCGTCCCGCAGTCAACGTCGTCGGCGTGGAGTTAGCGCGCGTCAGCGTCGCGTGCGGCTTCGATCCGACAATTAATGATGAGTACCACCGGCTGGTCGCCGTCGATCTCTCGTTGCTCGCATGCTCGCGATGCTCTGTAGCACACCCATTCCCCCCCGGTTCAGGTTTCAGGTGTAGGTGGTACAGGTGTTCCCCGGTTCAGGTGAGGTGAGAATCAGGTCAGACTTGGTACAGGTTCGGCCTTGGTACGGTTCAGACTCAGGTATTTCTTCCTTGGGTGTGCTACAGCAGGATCTGCTTTGCTCCTCCTGTTTTCGCCTTCATTGCCATCCCTTTCCATGCATGTTCTGCTTCCCTTCTTCCCTTCACTCATTTGTGTTCCGCTCGTCCTCCCCGTTGTTCCAGGAGGCGCTTTGTGTTGTACCCATCGCGGCTCTCCTCGTTCCGCTTCCTTCAACGCGGCGCCCTGCTTCCGCGAGTCAACACGTCAAGATCCGCGCGACGCTATCCTGCAGTCAACGCTTTCGGCTTGGAGTCAGCGCGCGAGGGCGCGTCGCCTTCGGCTTCGATCCGACAATGATGAGTACCACCGGCTCGCGATGCTCTGTAGCACGCCCAAGCCCCCCCCCCGGTTCAGGTTCCAGGTGCAGGTGTAGCTGGTACAGGTACCCCCCGGTACAGGTTCGGCCTTGGTACGGTTCAGACTCACCTGCGTGTCGTACATCAGCCTCTGCTTTGCGTCGTCGTCCCTTTCCATGCATGTGCTGCTTCCCTTCACTCATTTGTGCTCCGCTCTTCCTCCCCGTTGCTCCAGGAGGCGCTTCGCGTTGAACTCATCGCAGCTCTCCGCTTTCCGCTCGCTTCAACACTTCGACAACGCAGCGCGCTGCTTCCGCGGGTCAACGATCTGCTTCCGCGAGTCAACTTGCTACCCGAAAAAAGATGAGTATTCCTGCTTTGATTTCGTCCTGTATTTTGAATGCGTTTTGTCCTCGCTCTAGCTGCCTGTTGCACACTCAACCCCCCCCCCTTTTATTTTAAGGTAAGACTATCAGGTGTCCCTTATTATTTTTATCCTCCCCTTGGTACGATAAGGTACAGGTCCCCTCCCCTTAACCCCTCTTGAGTGTGCTACAGCAGCATGCATGCATCTCCGTCCGTTTCGGCTGTGCTGCTTCCCTACTTTCCCTCGCATGCCTCTTCACTCATTTGTATTCCGCTCTTCCTCCCCGTTGCTCCAGGAGGCGTTTCGCGCTCTACTCATTGCTCCTCTCTGCTCGCTTCAACGCTGCCGCGAGTCAACGCGCTGCATCCGCGAGTCAACGCGCTGCATCCGCGAGTCAACGATCTGCTTCCGCGGGTCAACGCGCTGCCCGTCAGGGAGATGAGTATCCTGTGCCCATGCCTGAGAGCGCTTTCACGTTTGTCATTCGCGTGCTTGCTTCGATTTCGCTCTGTCGGTTGAATGCTTGTTGTCCTCGCTCTAGCTGCCTGAAGCACACTCAACCCCCCTATTTTTTTAAAGGTGCATACTATCAGGTATCCCTTATTATTTTTATCCTCCCCTTGGTACGATAAGGTACAGGTCCCCTCCCCTTAACCCCTCTTGAGTGTGCTACAGCAGAATGCATGCATCTCCGTCCGTTTCGTCTGTGCTGCTTCCCTTCTTCTCTTCCGCGTGCCTCTTCACTCATTTGTATTCCGCTCTTCCTCCCCGTTGCTCCAGGAGGCGTTTCGCGCTGTGCTCATTGCTGCTCTCTGCTCGCTTCAACGCTGCCGCGAGTCAACGCGCTGCATCCGGCGTGTCAACGCGCTGCATCCGCGAGTCAACGCGCTGCATCCGCGAGTCAACGCGTTGCATCCGCGAGTCAACGCGCTGCTCGTCAGGAAGATAAGTGTTTTCGTGCCCATGCCTGAGACCATTCTCGCGTTTGTCATTCGCTTGCTTTGATTTCGCTCCATCGTTTTGCATGTGTTGCTGTAGCTGCCTGTAGCACACTCAAGCCCCCTCCTTTTTTAAAGGTACAGACTAAGGTCAGGTAAGGTAAGGTAAGGTACGTACAAAACTTATCCTTGGTAAGGTAAGGTACAGGTATCCCCCCCACCACCGCCCCTTGAGTGTGGTACAGCAGCTGTTCTTCCTTCCCCTTGTGCTGCGCGAGTGCTCCTTGCTTGCATGCGCGTCCTCCGCGCTCCCCCTCCTCTTCCGCGGACTCCCTTCTCATCACACATCCTTCCCCCTCTTCGCCTTTCCTGCCTCCCTATCCCGCAGCCTCGCGCCCAGCGTCAAGGAACGTGCCTTCGGCGGGCGTCGCGGGGAGGCGCGCTGCTGTGGGGACGCGCGTGGGAGGCAGCAGCGGGACGACTTGGCTCTCCCTCAGCCACCAGCGCACAGCGACCAACAGATGAGTATCACTCCGCCAGCCCTTCCCGCTCGTTTCGCATGCCCCATAGCACACCCAAGCCCCCCATTTTGTTAAGGTTAAGACTGTCAGGTACCCCCTCCCCTTGGTGCAAAACTTTTATTCCCCTGGCGTGGTAAGGTATAGGTCCCCTCCCCTCCGCACGGGTGTGCTTCAGCAGCCATGCTTGCCATGCTTTCGCACTCAATTCCCTCCCCTCCCCCCCCACCATTCCCCCCTCACCCCCGCTCCGCCCCTTGACCATCTCAGTGCCTGCTGGCGTCAACAAACGGCCGTCGCTTTGCCTGGCGAACGCTCCTCAAGGGGACGTGGGGCGCGGAGGCAGCAGCAGAGGTTCAGCGGGTCGTCTTGGACTCCCCACCAAGCATCCGTCACAGAGCGACCAACAGATAAGTACTGCTTCACCAGCCTCTCTCCCACTGCCTTTGACCGTTTTCCCGCTTGTCTTTGTCGTTTTGCATGCTTGTCTCGTTTGTTCTTTGCCTTCCTCATCGCTCTAGCTGCCTGTGGCACACCCAAGCCCCCCCCCTGGTATTTCAAGGTGTAGGTCATCAGGTGTCCCAGGTACAGGTACAAACCTTTATCCAGGTCCCTTGGTACGGTATGGTGAGATTCAGGTCCCCTCCTTTCCTTGGGTGCTACAGCAGCCTAGGCCGTGCAGGCATGCTCTCTCGTTTGCACTCTCCACTCGTTTGGATCTGCATCCGCACTCCCTACTCACTCACTCCCCCCCTCCAGCCCCCATCCCTTCCCCTCCCCAGGGTGCCAGTGGGAGCAGAGGCGTGTGGGTAGGGGCGCAGCTGCTGCACTGCACCCATCAGCACTTCAACTCGACGCAGTTAAGTACCCAACTGACCCTTCGTTTTTGCTGCCGTCCTTGCTCTTTGCACTGCTGCACTCGCTATTTTTCAGCACTTCTGTACTCACTCTTGTGAATGCTCTTCAAAGGTCAGCTACTAATCGTTTTCTCTGCACCCCTTGGCAGGTTCATCCACTGTGGTGGTCGCTGGTGCTGGTGGTTGGCGGTGGTGTTGGTGGTTGGTGTTGGTGCTGGTGTTGGTGTTGGTGGTGGCGGTGGCTGTGGTGGTTGGCGGTGGCTGTGGTGGTTGGTGGTGGTTGGTGGTGGTTGGTGGTGGTTGGTGGTGGAGGGTGGTGGTTGGGGGGAGGCTTTGAGTCTGAATTCCAATAGCCGCACGTTTAAGGCATAATGGACGATCACCAGACCCTGCGGCCGGGGGTCTGGTGTGGCTCCCCTCTTGCCACGTCGGTGAGGGTTCAGGCCTTGGGGTCGCTCCTCAGCCCCACTCTGGAGTGGTGGTGGAGAGTGGTTGGAAGTGGTGGTGGAGAGTGGTTGGAAGTGGTGGTGGAGAGGTTGGAAGTGGTGGTGGAGAGTGGTTGGAAGTGGTGGTGGAGAGTGGTGGAGAGTGGTGGAGAGTGGAGGGGAGTGGTGGAGAGTGGTGGGAAATGGTGATGGTGCTGTGGTTGGAGGGTGAGTCCCCACAAGAGGGGAGAGCATGGCAGGGGAGGGATGTTGAAACCCCAGGTGTAGGTTTCTGAAAGCCAGAAGTTAGAGAAGGGGGTTGAATGAGCTCCCTTACCTTTTACTGCAGTTGGTGTAGTAGAGTAGTGTGGCTGATACTTATGTGACTATTGTACTGTCATAGGTCAGATACGGATGAGGAACTAGTACAATCTTCTATGGCTGTGTAGCTCCTAGGCTGTGTAGAACCTCTAGGCTGAGTCATTGTTCTGCACAATTCTTAGTCAGAAATTTAGCATTCGCAAAGAATCCCCTTTCTACCATATGTGCAACATTTCGTTTCGTGCTTTCCCGATGGACATGGGCGAATTCGAAGTGCAACCCTTTCCACAAGCAGCGGATTCTTTAGGTTGTGCAACAGCCGCAACGCGAGCATTGCAGTTCCACTTTCTTGCTTCCTTCGACTAACGCACTTGCACTTCCGCTTTGGTCGGCGACCTCGCTCGGTGCTCAGCTTACCGTAAATACCGAATTTTGACGCAGCCATGGTTCGTAGTCCTCACCTTGTTTGCCTGGTGCTTGTACTTATCGTAGGTCGCTTGCAGTCGTAGGTCGTTTGTCGTCGTTGGTCGCTCTCTTAATGTGTTTCGGCTCCTTGGCCTCCATGTTTCTCGTCTAAACCGGGTAAGTTTTCCTGCGACCGCTCTCACGCTCTCCGCACTTTGCTCTTCCGTCATCTTCCCTCGTCGCCCATTACCTTTCTCCTCTGTCATCTCTCCTTCGCCTCTCTCGTTTTTCCACTCTCCTTTCCTTCTCGCCCCCCCGTCCGCTCGTCGCGAGCGTGCCAGACGACGTCGAAGCGCGTGGTGGAGCGCAAGAGCGCGCGGTTTCAGGGCAACATCGCGCGGCGAGGGAGCGTGCCAGAGACAGTGGCGAAGAAGGGCGACAAGTACCCCGTCAGCACCATCGTCATCATCTTCTTTGTCTTCGTTGTCGTCGGCTCCGGTATGCCTTGCATGAACTGCGCCTTGTACGCCTTGCACGGACTGATTCTTGTACGGTATGGGTTGCACTTGCACAGATTGTGTCGTGCATTTTCCAGAGATTTGACGAGTACTAGCTTCGCCAGCACGATGCAGCTATCCTCCTGTTCTGTGTTGTATCCGTTGTTGCTGCTTCGCAGTTGGGCTCCTTCGTTTCTGCTCGTTACCTCCCATGCCTTGCCTTCTTTTTTGTCTTGACTCATCAGCTTCCCAGCCCGCTTCCCTCCTCCATGCCACAATTCCTCTGTGCTCTATCCCGTATTCATCTCACTTCTCGTTGCTCCTACTTCCCCTTCCCCTGCAGCTCTCTTCCAAATCATCCGTAATGCCCAGACACGCGCAGTTGACTAATAACCATGAGTTTGTGTGAAACAGTTGCAACAGGTGCTAGTGATTATTACCTTCCAGTTGCAAACTTGGGGTCGGCGCTCGCCCCAAGGCTTGTGGGGCAGCCTGCGTTGCTTGCCTCATCTAGTTATGTTATGCCTTGTGTGTATGTAATGTGCATTTACCCTCAGTGATGTGAAAGACGTTTGTATGTCCTGATAATTACACTGTATATCGTGGTGTTCTGAACTGCACCAAGATCCCATATTCTTGGGATCTGCGTCAGCCGAACCTCCCCACCACCTCATCCCGCCCAACTATTCTCTGCCGCTCACGACAACTTCAATTTCAGATCCTTTCACAACGAGCATCGCTGCCATCACACCGTAGCACCACGCTATACCATTAGATCAGTGGCACCGCCCGCGTGCTGATACTAGCGCGGCTCGTCGCCAGTCTCTTCGCGTGTCGTCGAACGAGCCTCAGCCATGGCTCTGCCCATCGCGTGGGCCGCAGTCGGCGCCGGCACGATCGCGATGTCGCTGTTTAAAAGAGGCAGGAAGAAAGCTGGCGAGTCGTCAAACGCTGCAAATCCCGCGCTCTCACCCGACACTGACGACAAGCCGTCACCGGATTCGCCGTCGCCGTCAGCTGTTGCGGAAACAGACGGCGGCCGGCACGACGCGTCCAGTGACGGCACGAGTGAAACGGCCGGCGGCGAGGGGTCGACGCTGCGGAGGAGGCGGGGGAAAGGGGAAGGCGGAAGCGAGGTAGGGGGGGCAGCAGCGGAAGCGGACTCCCCGCGGGACAGTCGCGAAACGGCGGAACGCGGAGCAGTAAATAGCGCGCCGAGCGCGGTGACTGACGATACTGGATCTGGGGAGGATTCGCAGCCAGCAGCCGAGGCGACCGCGGGAGAAGATGCAGGCGATGAGGCGGGCGGTGCCAGCGAATGCGGGGACGCGCAAGCGTCGGAAACTGCAGCGGAGGGAGCGGAGGACGAGCAGAGCGGCGTGGAGGTGGCTGGGGAAAGGCGAGAACAAACAGCGGAAGGGGAAGTCTTAGCAGCAGGAGCAGCAGAAGAAGCAGGGGAGGCAACTACAGCGGCAGCGAGTGCCTGCAGGGCAAAGGATGAGCCAGGAGCGCAAGGCACGCCTGACGCGCAAGGCAAGGAGACTGCGGCTGAATCCTCACCTAAGGCGGTGGAACCCCCCGCTGCACCGCAGACGAAGCCGCGCCAGCAGCCCCTGGGGGTGTTCGTCTTCTGGCTCGTTTTCATCACCCTCACGGGGCTTATAGCGGGGATATTTCTCCTGGCGCAGTTTCTGTTCCTGGAGGACGCGGGGCGGCGCGACTTCATCTCCATCCCGCCGCTCGTGCGCGCGCACCTGGACCGCGGCCAGACCATCAAAGTCGCCGCGCCGGGCGCCGTGGCGGGCGGGGCGGGTGGTCACGGGCAGCAGGGGGAAATAGAGGTCTTCGTGCGCGCGGAGGGGTGGGGGACAGGCCGGGGGAGGAGATGGGGCGCTGACGGCGGAGGTGGCGGGAGCGGTGGGGGGCAGGCGGGGGAGGGGCGGGGTAAGGAAGTGGTGGTGCTGCTGCATGGGCTGGGCGGCAGCTCGTTCCTGTACCGTGACGTCATCACTCTCCTCGCTGACCGGGGGCTCAGAGCACTCGCTCTTGACCTCCCAGGGTCAGGTCTATCCACCAAATTAACCTCAGAAGAAGAGGGTGCAGCAGCAGTGTACCCTGCGCACCAGCTCGCGCGGATCCTGGACAGGGTGCTAGAGGCCCTTGGGATTGCCGAGCCGGTGCACCTGGTGCTGCATGATACGGGCGGTGTGGTCGGCACGTTGTGGGCAGCGGACAACGTGCAACGAGTGAGAAGCATAACGCTCATCGACACACCCATGGAAGACCCCTTTGCTCCCGCCTTCCCCCCCGCGTGGCTCCTCCGCTACCCCCACCTCACTGCCCTCGCTGCCCGCTCTGTCTTCCCCGTTGCTGCCCTCCTTGCCTCGTGCTGCGTCAGCGCTCGCGTGGCCGATGACGTGGCGCGGGCCCACGCGTACCTGCTGCAGGCGCATGGGGGCATCCACGCTGCCATGCTGGCGCGCCAGCATGGCAATCTGACGCATGACATGGCGCGGACTGTGCAGCGGCATGCAGAGAGGGCGCTGGGTCGGGTGCCGAGGCAGCTGCTTTGGTCCGGGGAGGCGGAGGAGCAGGGCGAGGAGGTTCGGTCGCACTGGCCTCTGGCAGACTTCCACCTGCATGACGGCAAGCGCTGGCCCCAGGTGCGTGCTTGCACCTTGTTTACCTATGAGGTGCCTAAGATGTGTGCTTGCAGTGATTTTATAGGTCACCTCTGACGTAGAATCGGGGTGTGTGCTTGAGGTCTCACTCTCTTTGAGTCTGTCGATCTCTACCCCTTGACAGCATTGATACTGACCACATGCACAGCACAGCACATCATTCTCACCTCCCTTCACTCTCCGTCCTTCCACCCCAACCAGGAGGACCATCCAGGGGACATAGCCGAGGCGATTGCGAGGTTCGTAGCTGCCCAGCCTCCACTGCCTGCAGGAAAGGGTGGTGGCAAGGAGCACAGAAGCAGGCCTGCTGCTGTTGCTGGTGCAGGAAAGGCCAAGGGGGGAAGTGTACACCACCACCACCATGGTCATGCGCATGGGCATGAGCATGAGAACAGTCATGGGCATGGTTTAGGCTACATGGAGGATATTACCCAGGGCCCAGGTACAGGGCATGGTGGCTGGGTTATGTAACTTATCTAGAGCGTTCAACTCCTTGGTTTCGTGGTTAATTTGTCAATCGGTTCATTGCAGTGTTTTGAAGTTGAAATGTTAGACTACCACTTGTCGCCAATATTGTATGTATTTCTTGCTAATATATATATTCAGTCGTGGCTAATTCTTTGAGACTTGGATGGTATAGATTTTTAGTAGTGCTCACAACGCAGATGGGAATGGGTGAGTGTTGATGTGGTTTAAGTGTCAGGGGTTTAAAGGCTTAAAGGTTTTTATAAGGTCGTGACCTTTTTACAAACATGCAACTAGAGAAGGATACAAGCAAAGCCTAGCTCCCCGTAGGGAGCACGTGTGAACACGTTATCCTCCTGCCTCAAGAGCAGAGATGTCCCAAGACAAATCTCTAGCTGACACGTGGTAAGGCTGTGGCGGGGATCAAGGAGGGTGGAAAACGTCGTTGAGCAGCCAGGTGTCGCGGAGCTCGGGATGGATGATTGGTTTGTCAGGTTCCGGGAACAGGAGGAAGCGATGAGAGTGAGCCAGCTTGGCAACTCTGGCAGCCTTGAGTTTCTTCTTCTTAGAGCCGCTGGAGAGTTTCCAAATGAGAATCTTATAGGCAAGGAGGAAGTAGTGTAGCACTTGAAATAAGGCATCCCCTGTTTTGGTGACCGCTTGTCTATAGCGGAAGCTGCATCGCGCGTTCCAAATTGATTTCGCCGCTGCACCCACGAGTAGACTCCACGGGGCGCCTTGGCCAGCCGATGCCGCTAATGGGAAGAGGGTAAGTTCTGGAGAAGTTGTTACTCCTAAGTGGAGCTGGGCGGTGCGTTGCAGCGCTTCTATAATCGGTCTGGCGACTCCGCACTCAAACAGCAGATGCGGGAGAGTTTCGAGCTGTGCACTGTTGCAACCTGCGCAAACACCTTTGTCACGCGCAAAACTAAATCTGGATCCAGAAGGAAGAGCCAGCGCGTAGAGGCGGAAAAGTACATCTCGTTGAGACGAAGGTTGGTCTGAAAGGAAGGCATGTTTATAGTCAGGGAGTAGCGCAGGGCCGGGGCTGGGCAGCATATTGGCCCACTTGTACGGATGTGTCAGTTCCTGTTCGGCGTAGGAGAGATCGCGAATGGCTGCTAATGAGGGGATACCATCGGCTAGGAGAGGGAGACGGGCCGCCAGTCCAGCTCCAGAGCAAAAGGAACCCCCCAGCCACCTATCGAAGACGTGTATCGGCACCGTGTTGAAAGTCGAGAGCTGCTGACGCGCCACAGCTTCCTTTCCCATGCGACCTGTCTTGTCAACCTCGAACACGTTAGCGTAGACCCAATCGTCAAAAGGGCTGTCCTCGACCTGAAACGCCTTCCGGGGCGGGGAGAACATGTCCTCCGCTAGGAGGACCCAATCACCTGCATACAGAGGAACGAGAGAGTGGGATGACCCCAGAGCGGCCCACCATTCCTTAGGCATGGCGTCGTAGATTTCGTTGATGATTCTTCGGCTGCATGGGTATTTTTGTGGGGGGTACTGAGCCATAATTTCGTGATCCGTGAGTCGGCGAGCTCCACTAGCATCCCGGCGCACTATGTGTCCAACCCGTACTTCTTCAATGAGCAGGAACGCTTCTTCTTGGATTCGTCCATACGGGCGGCCGCCGGGGTTGACGAAAAATCTGTTGAAGGGGATTGGTTCAGCCAGAATGCACCAGAATTCCAGTCTGGGGGGAAGGACCTCAAGTTTGAGTTCAAGAAAACATTTGACCTCTTCTCGTAGTCGGGTGGGGGTGGCAGGGGGGAGGGCAGAGGTGAAATCAGAGTGAAGTAGGAAGCCATGCAGGCCGAAGGGGATGGGTACGCACGTCCTGGCCACAGCAGCGCCCGGCTAAGGGGAGAAGCGGCGGAGGGCTCGTTGTATGTTTAAGGCTTTGATTTGTGCCGAAGGTCGGATCGCGCCCAACCCACCGTGCTCGATCTTGTTGTACAGGACCGTGTGGGTGAGGAGGCGTGTCGTTCGTCCCGCCGACTTGAACTTTGATGCGGACAGGAAGTTTCCTACCGCGTCATCCAGTGCTTTGGTAGTGGGGGAGGATGGCGGTTGGAAGCGTCCTGGATACGAGAGGGCTGAATTGAGATTCTCCGAGGACAGGTTTTTCCTGCACGAGGAGGTGGCATGAAGATTAGAGAGGAGGTTGGCCGAGCGTTTAACCTTTGCCAATGTGATGTTCCAGGTGGTATCGGTGAGACCGGAACTGCCCACGAAAATACCGAGGATCCGTTCGAAATCTGAGTGTGATCGAATGGGGATATCGCCTGCGCGGGTGATAGCGGAAGGGGAGAAGTTGAAGGGAATGACAGAGCACTTAGCCCAATTGAGATGCTCGCCTGAGATTGAGGCAAAGGAGAGCAAGGCGTGAGAGGCTACACGAAGCTCATCGTCCGAGTTGAGGAAGATGGTGACGTCATCCGCATAACATGCCATCAGTCGGCGTTGGGTGCGGGAAATAGGGAAGCCAGGCAAGAAGCAGGAAGTAGAGCGGTGGAAAATTTCTGTTACGCAGAGAAAAAGCAACGGAGCCAGCGGGCATCCTTGCCTGACACCGGTGATGACAGGTATAGAAGGACCGCAGAAGTTATTCACGGAAATTCGGGTAGTGGTGCCTGAATGCATCAATTTGACCCAGTGGATGAAGGTGGCAGGAAGGCCGAGGTGGGAGAGGCAGGTGAAGAGGAAATCTCTGTCGACCATGTCATACGCCTTCCGGATGTCGACAGTGAGTGCAAGAAGGGGTAATGACTGTGCCGTGGCCCAGTCGAAGATGTCCAAGGTGTCATTAAGTGTGTCCCCAATCCTACGAGTCTTGATGAAGGCGGTCTGTGAGTGGTTGATGAGGGAAGGCAAAAGAGGTTGAAGGCGATTAGCCAGGCAAATCGCCAGTACCTTATAATCGGTGTTCATAAGTGTGATGGGGCGTAGGTTGTCGACCAATGTGGCGTCACTTTTTTTTGGAATGAGAACTGTCCGGCCCTGTAGCATAGACTGGGGGAGAGAGTCCTGAGTTCCAAGAAACAGAGAGTGCAGAGCGGGAGTGAAGAGAGTTCGGAAGGTTCGGAACAGCTCTCCTGAAAGACCATCCGGCCCCGGGGTTTTTCCTTTCGGGAGCGAGGCGATGGCCTTGGAAATTTCCGTGGGAGAGAAAGGGAGCGAGAGGCGGGAGAGAGCCTCAGGGGAAAGCTGGGAGGGAGGGACAAGGGACCAAAAGGAGGGATCGGGGGTCACCTTCTGAGAGCCGCCATACAGCTGCTGGAAAAAGGACGTGCACAAAGCGGACATACCGGGCAGGTCGGTGATAGCCGAGCCTGAGGGGGATTGTAGCGAGGCTATTAAAGATGCCTTGATCCTGTTGTTTACTCCGACAAGCAGGGAGGAGACGCCCATCTCTCTTGGGCCCTCTACTTTGAGCTTCGCTTTCAGCGCTAACTCGGCAGACCGGCTAGCTTCGTATCGTTCAAACTGTAGCGAGGCGATGCGAAGACGTTCCTTGGCTACTAAGTCGGTAGGGTTAACGGCAAGGTGAATCCGAAGTTGGGAAGTGAGAGTCTGCAAGTGCGAGATGGTCTTTCGGACTCGGATCTTTTCTTGCCCAGCGAAGGATTTGATTTGATTGCACAGGGCCAGCTTCCAAGGGTCCCAATCTGCCGCGGAGAGAGTCGTAGGGAGAGAGCGGCACGCCGATCTAACAGTGAGCTCCAACTGCGGACGTTTAAGAATGGCCAGAGGGATGCGCCATGGCCGTGGGGCTATGTTAGGACTGTCGCATTGGAAGGAGCAGGAAGGGGCAAGATTGTGGTCCGACACATCCTTGGAAACTGAGTAATAAGCTGCGTCAAGGAGACGGGCCGCCAGAGCCTTAGAGATGTGGATGCGGTCTAAGCGGGAGGCAGAGGGAGCAGAATCCTCGTCCTGATCGCTCCTAGGGATGGCGAAAAAGGAAAACATGGTGGTAGTGGGGAAAATTTTCCGGAAAGAATCGATTAAGCCATGATTAGAGAGAATATTCGACAGCATGGTTCCTTCAGAAATTTCGTGACTGAGTAGAGGCCTATTTCGGTCTTCCGGAGCGCAAACTGCGTTGAAATCCCCGGCCAAAATAGTACCAGCTGCTGCCGTGGGGATGTCAAGTGCTGGGGCGAAGATAGCACGCCACCACTGCCTGCGGAGGGTGACCGTGCAGCGGGCATAGATCGCAATGATGCGAAACTGCTCTTGCAGGAAGTTGACGTGGATCGAGAGTAAACGGCCGTCAGGGGAGGGGTCGATAGAAGATATAGAGATATTTTTGTTGAACACTAGAATAGCAATACCTCCTGGTTTAGCTTTATCGGTATAAGGCGGCGGGCATTGGGCGTGAGAAGATGGTCTGAGGGACAGCAGGAGACGGGGAAAGTTGATTGTGAGCCTGGTGTCGACTAAAATTAATATGTCAACTTTTCGATCACTGTTAGACAGCCATGAGCGGAGATCATACATTTTCTGCATTTTATTGAGACCGTTGACATTAATGCAGCGGATGGTAAGGGGGATTAACATTGTGAACTGTGTTGAGCCCTCACATGCGCAGGCATGTGCATCCACAGGGCGTGGTAGAGAAAGAAAGAAGAAGCTGAGCAGGCACAGGGGCGAGCCAGCGCGATTGAGTACTTTTGCAGGAGATACAACGTGAGAGCAAGGCAAAAGTTCAGGCTATGAGGTACATAGTGCCACTGGCAGGCTAGACATGCGCGAGCAAAAGCCCGGCCATCCAAGGAGGCATCTACTGCAGGAATGCAGTGATGCGGGGGTGCTGCAACAGCGTAGTGACCCTCCAGGCCCCATATTTCTCTTTGACAGCCGGCAGGTGAGCCGAGTCCTGCAGGTGCTTGCGGTGAGCATCGGAGGCGAGGTGGTGCATGGCACTGTCCAAGGCCAAGCCACACTCGAACTCGCACAAGGAGCACGTCCAGACTTCGACGTCCAGGTCGATCCCAATCAGGAGAAGGCCTGGGTCCTTCTTGAAAGCTGCGGGGGCGGGCTGCTGGCCAATCAGCCGACCTGTGAGAAGGAGGAGGAAATAGTGAAGAGTCGCACGTAGTAAGGTAAGCCAGAAAAAAAGGCCGAGCAGATTGGGGTGTTGAAGAAGGGGAAGCCAGGCGTAGGATCTGGGGATGACAAGAAGAGAGGACATTGTCGAGTTTGATATGGAAAAGGGCGAAACGTAAGGGGGGCGGAGAACGCAACAGGCATCGTGACAAGAGAGATAAATTTGTGACCGTACCGTTGACAGATTGCAGCTGGGCCACCGAGATGGTGTGGCGGTTCGGGAGGCGCGCACGGCGGGTGAGAGCGAAGCACGCGTGATCGTTCACGCGGTGATTGCTGGAGCATACGGAGCAGGAGTGGGATGAGATGTTGAGAAGCACAGGGTCCTCCTGGCCCGGAAGCCAAAGGACCGCAGGGATACGGTCGAAGCCTGCATCACCATCTGCTGCCACGGGAAGACCGAGCAGCTGAGAGTACGCCGAGTCGTCGTAAGGATCCTTGAGACGGTGAAACAGGCGAAGGTCAAAGAGCCAAGGCAATCCTGCCTCGGTCGTTCCCGCAAGAAGCGTGCTGCGCATGCGCTCAGGAGAGTACCCCAGCGGAACATTGCGGAGGACCACGTGGGTGTCGCCCCTGGCACGAGCCGTCGTGAACTCCTGATTGGGATCAGAGAAAACCTTGACTTCCATCGCACGGTTGTTAGCCAGACAAACCGTGACCGGGAAGAGGCTGCGAAAGATTATAGCGTCATTAGCAGAGGGCCAAGAGAAGGTATGCCTGGAATACGTATGGCGGGGAAGCCGCAAGGCCTCACCAGCCGCAGATTCAAACGAGGGGATGACACCGTTAAAAGCCTGACCGTTGATGAGGGCTGAGATACGCGTAAGCACCGCGGCACGAACCTCCTCCGAAGAAGCCTCGGGGAAAATCACGTCCACCATTGACTGCGTGTTGCGCGTCAGAGCATGCAGAACCGCGCCGACCGACGTGCGATGTCGACGCAGGTTCCGATAGCGAGCGTGGGGAGCAAGGCCAGTGATCGCGCCAGCAGCAGCATGGTCTGTTTCAGGTTCCGGCTGTACGGGCCGAGAGCGAGTAGCAAGCGCCGGGCGAGGCGCAGAGGGAGCAGGTGTACGACCAGACGCAGAGGCCGTGGCAGCAGAGCTGCCGGAGGAGCTCGCGCGGGGAACCGGAGGAGGGGCCGAAGGGAGCGCGGAGGCAGTGCCTGAGGTACCAGCAGCCGAGGATTGCCCCTCACTGCATAGCTTCTTCGCCGCAGGTTCTCCCGAAGGAAGCGGCTGAGCACTGACAGGAGCTGACGGCGCAGCGTTTTCGCGGGGATCGGGCAGAGCTCCGTCGGGGAGATCGTCGAGGAACTCATCCCCCAGCTCGTCAAGTGTATCGTCTCCGACGGGAAGCTGGCCTTCCGCCATGACGTGGTCGGGATTGTGCTCTGTAGCCATGGTAGCGAGAGGTGATCGTAATGAGGCCAACGGCCTGATTTTATGCCAGAAGCGAGGGAGGGAGGAGAAGGCCGTCGAATCGGCAATCAAGAAGCAGCACAAGGGCCAAAGCCCGGATCGCTCACTGAGAGCAAAGGGGCGATTCGAGAGAAAAAAGGTGCCTTGGCAATGGCCGTGGCAACCATGAGAACATGACTGGGAGCCAGATCGGCTACCCGAGTCGGAAGGAAAGGCATGTGAGGAGGCTGGCAATACCAGGCCACCACGGGGGTTTGCGAGGTGGTCGTGAGGTGGAACAGGTAATCCAGGGTCTGGAGGACGAAGCAGACCCGCCGTAAGGGCCTTGCATGAGAGAAAGCATCCAGAGGTGGTCCGATCTGACTCACAGACGACATAGATAGTGAGGTCTTCAGGATAAGCAATCAAATTCCATAATTCGAGCGAAGGACAGCCTTCTTTTAAGGTCAAGACGCAGCCTTTGCTGAAGTGGCGAACTGTGCCAGCACACAGAACCGGAGTTAGCGCACACAACTTGCAACCCCAGCTCACCTTTCCCAGGATGTCGGAGTAGAGAAGGCGAAGCAGAAATCGAGACACCAATAACCTGCGCACAGTTCCTTCGTTATTGTACAAGAAACATGGCTCACCTTCAAGAGGATCGTTCCGAAAAGAAAACCGAACGCAAAGAGCGTTATCATCGTAGCGATCCAAAGGCGTTGAAGGTAAACGAGAGCTGGTGCAAACGAGGACAAGTAACAGCAGGGAAGCGGAGAGCTTCATTCGGGAGGATGCCATTCGAGCAGGCCGGGATTTTCCCTGTGGAATTGAACTCCTCGGTTTAAGTGTCAGGGGAGTGCAAGCACAGCGTAAATATCGACCTCCTAGCAATTCACGCCGCGCCACATCAGCTCTTGCGTCTTGAACAGCGAAGCAGAAACCACACCGGAGACGAATCACAATTCAGAAGACTCCTTCAGCTCAGCATGACTGGGTGGCGTGGCGCGTCGCGATTCCCCCAACCACACGTGATGTTGCGCTCTTCCGCGTCTCCCTCCTTGTCCAGCATTTGATCTTCCCAACCCACCCGTGAGTGCGTGACCTGTTTCAGATTTCATTGTCATCCATTTCGCTCATTTCTAGTTTTGCTGGAGCTCCATAGTTAGCTAACCATTTTTGCAGATGCAGAAAGCCCATGATTCTCATTTTCGCTTTCACCGCTGACAGAAAGAGTAACCAGGTGTAGATCACAAGCTTCGTTTCTCTCTTAAATCTCGCCATTTCTGGTATCATCAGTCTGCGGCGATGGCGGCGCATGCAGTGCGCTTGCCGAAGACAGGCATGTCGATGCCGCTTCGTTTAACGGCGTCCCCGGCTCGCCAAATCTCAAATATCTCCTTCAAGCGGGTTCCATTACGTCGAGGTACTTGCGATCATTCCATCCCTCGACAACTTTTCGTTCATAGTAGTCGGGAAAAACGGAATCGATGCAAGCTTGAGCTGAGCCAATGATGCAATCATGCCGTCTTTGTGAAAGAGTGCACGAAATAGTCGACGCTAACTCGTTCTTGCTTCACGCAGGCCGCATGGTCACACGTGGCGCGTCCGAGCAAGAGAAGAAAGGTCAGTCATGCCCACACTTGTCGCAATGCCCGATAATGTCACACGAGCTTGTCTGCCACAAAATAGCCCAAGTAGCTTATCTCACTGCTTCCAGTCACCTCTCCACCGCCTCTCCTTCGTCACTGCATCGCACGTCGCATCCCCCCTGTACTTGGTAGCGCTGGTCGTTTCCCCCAAGTCCGCGCCCCCCGCGTTGACCGACAAGTGGCGCGCGGCATTCTCGAAGGCAACGCAGCGGTTGGTGGAGGTAGACGCGCGCGGGCAGCGGCAGGTGGTGCAGGCGGAGACGCAGAAGCAGCTGGCGGAAGACCGCGCGCGGGGGCGCTGGCAGGTCATGTGGGAGCGGACGCGCGAGTGGCTGGCGAAGGAGCGCGCGCGCGGGCAGGTAAAAGTGGCGCGGGCGCACGAGAAGGAAAAGGTGGCGGCGGAGAGAGCGGAAGGGCGGTGGGCGTTTGTGAAGGCGAAGGGGGAGCAGCGGATCACCGCGGCGAGGGTGCGCGGGATGTACGACGTGGCGCGCGCGAGGGCGAACGAGCGGCTTACTCAAGTGAGGGCGCAGGGGCAGTGGCAGGTGGCGTGGGCCAACGCGCGCAAGAGACTTGCGCAGGCGGAAGGCACGGTCAAGGCGCGCAACGGTGTTGCGCAGGCAGAGGTGGACGCGCGCCTGGCGCAGGAGAAGGCGCGGGAGCGGTTGCAGGTGGCGAGCGCGCGTGAGCGGGCGCGGATGGCGGAGGAGCAGGCCAAGGGGCGCGTGATGCTGGCGAGCGCGCGGACGAACCGGCAGCTGGCGAAGGAGAGATTGCGCGGGCGCGTGAAGGTGGCGTGGGCAAAAGCCAAAGAGCGCATTGAGAAGGAGCGCGCCAAGGGGCGGTGGGCCGTGACGTGGGCCAAGGCGAACGAGGCGCTGGCGCGGGAAAGGTCGCGCGGCAGGTGGGACGTGCTGGTGGCGTCCTCGAGGCAGCGGCTGGCGGAGGTACGGGAGAAGGGGCGGCTTGATGTGGCGTGGAGTGGTTGGAAGTGGTTGGAGGAGCAGCAGTGGCCGAGAAGACAGAAGAGAATCGCCAGCCCTCAGTCGAAGTTGGGCAATGGCGCCAAGATCATCGACCTGTGATGCTGTGCGGTGCAATGCGCTGAAATGCGCTCAGATGTGCTGCTGAGGATGTATACGGTCTGGCTGGGGGTTTCCTCCTGCCAGTCTCTCGGGGTGGCAGCTGCTGTTTCCGCTGTGTAACTAGATGCTCTGCTATCTCCATGGAAATCACTGAGTTGACTTATGAAGATTGTTTCCTGGAGTGGGTTCTGTGCTTCAACAACAATCCTAGCGACACGTTCATTTGATGAACCAGACTGCTGGACCTCACCAAGTGGCACCTTTGAGTGGTTCAGATCTCTGCCACACATGCAGTGGCTGTCGCCCATGACCCTCCCTCTAGCCACTCCAAGACCTTCTTGCTCCACGGGCCTGCCACCACTTCCTGCACACACACGGGCACTTTACACCTTTTGTGGTGAAACATAGATAGTCAAGGGAATTGCTAATGAGAAGCTCTAGTGAGTCCGCTGGGTTGGTTTGAATCACCACCACGACCTGGGAAATGCACGAAAGAGTCCAGTGCGTTGGCTGTACCATTACTAAGGACAGACACTTGTGATGTACTACTACGAAACATTGCAACAGTCTCCTACCTTGCCAGAGTTCCATCCATCTCTAGGAAATGCTGTCAGGCTGAAGAATGCAAGCGTCCCAAGTGATGCAACAGAGCATTACTGACATTGCATCTGACCTCCAGAATGGGCTTGGAATGGTTCACATCACATACCGTATAATGTGCTTGTTGCTGCACTTCTCCATCTCAAAGCTAGGGCAATACCATCTGTCCCCGTGTACTGTAGAGAGATTTTCATGTTTGATACGTGTATTCTCAAAAGCCCTCGAAAATCTCCCTGAAGGCGGGAACTGCTGAACCAACTGTCCAATCACAGGCCTCGGGCGAGGCAATTGCAGTTGATTCGACAAGATCGATGCCTGGCAGGCACGCGCGCAAATAGGCAATCCCTGAATTCCTGATTGCGTGCTGGCAGCCGATCATTCATGAAAAATGAGAAATCAGGTGCTTTATGTTCATGTCCTGTGATACTCTCAGAATCACAAACAGCTCTTAGTATATGCGTGGCTGTTGTTGATCATCCAGAGCTGGTTGTCATTCAAGACAGTCGTTCCGGACACGTCTTCGTCATAGCAAAAGAGCTCGTTCTCGAATGAGCATTCGCGCTTCCATATCCTCGTCGCGCTTCTTCCTCGACCGCCTTCGACATTGATGATGGAACCCTTGATATCGCCGAGCCACGTCATTAGAACAGCCGGAGTCAGTCACTCACTGGTCATCCCGCAAACTTATCCAATCAGAGCAGCACGATCCTGTCCAGGACCCGTAGTGCGCATCACGAGAGCTGCTTGCAGTCCAGGAGGCCCACATCCGACCTCCACCTTCGGCCCACGCAATGCGCTCACACGTTCTGTAGGACCGACCGCGTCGAGCCATGCAAGCTCTCGAACGGGCTTCGCAGCGACCTCGCGTGGTCTTCCCGTCGGCGTCGGCGGGAGGAGCCTTGGTGGCGTGGCGCGGGGTGGAAGCTGCATAGGAAAGGATCGTCGGAGTCGGAGTGAAATCGTTCGTGCAGCTGCGCAAGGCTCGGCGGTGGAGCAGCAGCAGGTTGACGGGGTGGTGCAGGACGGAGCGTCGCGCACGAGCAGCAACGGCACAGCAGGAGTTACAGATGAAGAGATTCTGGTAACCAGCACTACTACGCGCTGCACTACCTCTGTGCTTGCAGGCAATGCTCCTGCTGCCAGAGCAACGCTAGATGACCGCGCGTACATTACAAGTGAATTTATAATCGATTCTTCCCGACCTGCAGGCGACGATCCCCGCGCTCGGTGCGACGTTGGACGACCACGGGGGCTGCGTGTTCCGCGTGTGGGCTCCGCACCCTCAGCGCGCCACCTTAGTCGTCAAGCGCCTCTCGCCTGCCCGCGGTGGCGCTGGTGGCGGTGACGCGGAAGGCGCGGCAGCAGAAGGCGAGAGGGTGGAGATGGATCGGGACGGCAACGTATGGTTCGCGCGAGTTCCGAACGTTGTTGCCGTGAGTGCGCCATGCTGCATGACGTGGACATGATGGTCATGATTGCGGCGGTAAGGACGCGGCAAACGTTCTTTTGACTGTGAAGGACTGCAATCTCAGCACCCGCACGGGATTAACTTCCTTCCTCGCCAGCTACCGCGCTACTGCCTTTCTTCTGGCACTTTCCGTGCGCCTTGCCAGTGCCGTTATTCCACCCCTCGTGCTCCAGGGTGACAAGTACCACTTCTTATTCGAGTGGGAGGGAAAAATCCTGGAGAGGCGGGACGCGAGGGCGCGCGCGACGGACTACGAGAGCAACGACTGCATCGTCGTGGACCCGCGCTTCACCTGGACCCCCTTTGAGCCACCCCCGTTTGAGGCCCTCAATATTTATCAGCTGCACGTTGGCGCTTTCACTGGGTGAGGCATGGTTGGAAGGATTGACGATTGAATGTCTGTATGGGCAGATGGTGGATGGATGGATGATGATAGTTGGATTCATTAATGGGTAATGATATGGGTGGAGTTTGGTGGGATGCAATGAGATAGATGTGGCCGAGAAATGACAAGTCTGATAGCGCACTGAACCTGGCCATGCACATTGAATTATCTATGGCACCGAGTGTGTGTGACGCCATGTGTCCTGTGCACCTGTGCCTGACACATGCAGGCGACTGCCGGGTGGAGGCACGTTCGCCGGCCTCAAGGAAAAGCTGCCGTACATCAAGAGCCTTGGATTCAACGCCGTTCAGGTCAGCTCGTATCCAGGGACTGCGAGGCAGGGGGCAGTGGGCGGCAGGAGATGATGGGAGGCGGGGAGCCTAAATGGATGCGGATCAGAGACAAGCGAGGTTGTGAAGGGAAGGGTAATAGTCATACCCGCTGTGCGTGTGTGGTGCGTGCAGATGCTGCCAGTGCACGAGTACTGCGGGCAGTGGGGCTACAACCCCCGCCTGCTCTTCGCCCCCCACCCCTTCTACGGCTCCCCCCTGGAGCTCCGAGAGCTGGTCGACGCCGCCCATTCCCAAGGTGAGCCTCGCTGCTGCATGGTGCGTGGTTATAATGGGGGGCTGCAGCTGGGTAGCAGGATGTTCCACTGCCATCACATGCCACATGATGTGCCACTCCTGTACCTCCGATTTTGCACATGACATGCCAACCCATGCAATCATGCCATGGCGTCCCATCGCATGTCGTACGTGCCATGTGCCATGTGCCATGTGCAGGCATGGCGGTCATCTTCGACGTGGTGCTGCACCATCTGGCTCCCAACCTCAACAGGTGCGCGCATGGGCTGCATGCGCCACCAGGAGGGGGGGTTGTGAACTGTGGCTTGTGGATTGTGTGTGCTTGCACCGCACGCTCATATGCTGCACCGCACGCTCATACGCTGCACCGCCCGCTCATACGCTGCACCGCCCGCTCATACGCTGCACCGCACGCTCATACGCTGCACCGCCCGCTCATACGCTGCACTGCACGCTCATACGCTGCACCGCCTGCTCATACGCTGCACCGCACGCTCATACGCTGCACCGCACGCTCATACACTGCACCGCACGCTCATACACTGCACCGCACGCTCATACACTGCACCGCACGCTCATACACTGCACCGCACGCTCATACGCTGCACCGCCCACACATCTGTCAGTCTGTCAGTCTTGAGACGGAAGAGTGCTTACGTTTCCCGGTGCTGACAGGCCTTGCATGGATTATTTTTGGTCGATTTGTCTAAACGTACTTATCAACTGTCATCTCCGTCATCCTGCAACCTATTTGATGGAATCTCCTGCTCCCTCAGCTCCTCTCTCCCCCAACTTGCCTTGGTGCGTGCGTGCCTGTCCAATTCCCTTCACATTCCTTGGCAGCCTGTGGGAGTATGATGGGCCCACCAAGAAGGGAGGTGAGGTCAATCAACTCTGCCTGCAGGATCATTCATTGCCAAGATCTGCCCAACGAATTGCTTCCCGCTCTCCACACCACTGTCCCGCAGCTTCTAACCTCGGCTCTCCCGTCCGTCCACTCTCCGCCCACATCAACTTGCTCCCATTGCCCCCACATCTCCCCACATCTCCTCGCGCCTAACACCCCATCTCCTTCCCCCATGTCCTTCCGCCATCTCCGTGCGTCCGCGCCCATCAGGGCTGTACTTTGACGGGGGGGGCGACTCATCATGGGGCAAGACCTTTGCGTGGTGGCAGCAGGAGGTGAAGGACATGGTGCTGGATGCTGCTCGCCTCTTCCTCCACGAGTACAACGGTGCGCGCCTGCCTCCCCGCCTACCCATCCATGCCATGCCACGCCATGCCATGATGCAATGAGGTGAAGGAGGTGAAGGACATGGTACTTGTTGCCGTGCCTGCTTCCCCACCATCCCATGCGCTGCCATGCCATGTCATGAGATGCAATCGCATGTCATGCAGTGCTTGCTCTTCATTAACTGCAATATTTGCATTTCAGTCATTGCATGCGTCACATTGCTGCTGATCCTCTGTACCCTAAACCCCGGCCCCCATCAGTTTCCCCCATCAGTTTCCTTCCCCCATCAGTTTCCCCCATCAGTTTCCTTCCCCCATCAGTTTCCCCCATCAGTTTTTCCATCTGCGGGACTGGAGCTGCAGTCCCAGGTGCGGGACTAGAGCTGCAGTCCCAGGTGCGGGACTGGAGCTGCAGTCCCAGGTGCGGGACTGGAGCTGCAGTCCCAGCTGCGGTCTCGTCATGCGCCTGCCGTGTCACACCTATGCACGCTCCTCCTCTCTCATCAGCATGCCAAGATCCAGGGACCTCGGCCCGCCCTGCCCCCTCCTCCCGTCCCTCACTGCCACCACCACCCTCCCCCCCCCCACCTATCCCCCCTTCTTGTCCCTCTGTGCGCACCGCGCAGGCGACGGGCTGCGGTTTGACTGTGTGCACGCCATGCCGTGGAAGGTGTCGCAGAGCCTCACGTGGCACCTGCACCGCGAGTTCCCCCACCGCATCCTCATCTCCGGTACGGGGCACTGCTGCCACGCACGCACTCACCACCTGCTCCCACACGCACTCCTCACCTGCTCCCACACGCACTCCTCGCCTGCGCTCCTCACCTGCACTCCTCACCTGCACTCCTCATCTGCACTCCTCACCTGCACTCCTCACCTGCACTCCTCATCTGCACTCCTCACCTGCACTCTCCACCTCTCAGCACTCGCACCTGATCCCCCCAGTGCGCTGCAGCATGCTCCCATTCCCAGTGCACACCCACTCAACTCTCCACCCCTGCTCTCCCTACCCATGCATGCACGTGCAGAGATCACGCCCGAGGTACCCGAGGTGCTGACAGACGCGGGGTACGACGCGACGTGGATGCACACGTCCTTCTACAAGATGCGCTCCTTCACGCTCTCCGATGGCCCCCGCCCCCTGGGCCGCCTGCAGGCGCTGCTCACCCTGCTGCCCGGCTACTCCAAGTCAACGCAGGTCAACGCCCCTCCTGCCCTCACTGCCTGTCGTGTGCCACTCTAGCCTTCTCCCTTTGCCAGGCGAGTTTGAGACTGTGCCGACTGGAGCACACAGCCGCATGCACACACAGCCACATGCACACACAGCCGCATGCACACACAGCCGCATGCACACACAGCTGCATGCACACACAGCCGCATGCACACACAGCTGCATGCACACACAGCTGCATGCACACACAGCTGCATGCACACACAGCTGCATGCACACACAGCTGCATGCACACACAGCTGCATGCACACACAGCTGCATGCACACACAGCTGTGTTTGCCGTTGCCTGTCTGAGCGTATCTTCATTCATCTTATCTGTGCCATCTACTGCTCGTGTCTCCACTTGGAACTCATGCCATTGGTTCCATTGAAACACGACGCCCCCAAAATCGGTTGTGAATGATGGCAGTGTGTGAAGTACTTCCTGGGGTCGCACGACCAGGTCGGGTGCCGCAGAGATGGCAGATATGACGATGACATACAGGGTTACCACAGGTACGGTCACAAATAGGGTACTACAGGCATGGTGAAATGGGGGCGCTAAGTGGGGGTGCAACCTGCACCTCAAACCTGCACCTTAAAGTGGGGCGCCAAGTGGGGGGCGCTTAGTGGGGGCGCTAAGTAAGTGAGGGAACTAAGTAAGTGGGGGCGCTAAGTCTGTGGGGACACTAAGTTGTGGGGGCGCTAAGCGGGGGCGCTAAGTGGGGGCGCTAAGTTGGGGTGCTTAGTGGGGGCGCTAAACACAGGGTTCCAAGTGTGTGGGGAATCTGTTTAGGTATGAGGGATGCTTATGGCCAGTGCAATTTGGCGTCGTCACCATTCTCGCATCGCAGAACTCCCATACCACGCTGTGCTGCTCTACTCTCTAACACGAATCCCTCACGTTCGGTCTCCTCACGGCCTCTCGTCTCACCTAGTGAGGCCATCTCATGGCCGCTCCACCACCACCATCCCACCCTCCCATGGGCGGCAGGTACGCTGTGGACCTGTTTGGAGGCCGTGAGGACTGGACTGCGCGCGCCAAAGTGCGCATGTGGTTCGCCTGCCAGGTGCCACTTCCTCCCCTGCCTTGCATCCCATCCCCTGAACCTTACATCCCAGTCAAGTGCACTCTGGACTTGAGGGTCGTCAACTGCAGTACATAGATAGTGCAGGGGATGCAGTCGCTTCAGCCAGGATTGCAGGAAAGTTTGTTAAGGCGAATATCATCATGCATCTCACCTCCACCTCATCTGCGTGCTGTATGCACGTTATTTGCCATGCTGTGTTTTTGCTGCCCCAGGTGTGCGCACAGGGCATACCAATGACGTTCATGGGGTCGGAGACCATGCATCCCAGGTGGTGGGGGGTCACCCCCAGGGACATGCTTGACTGGCAGTACACTGGTAAGCCCACCTCACCTCCCCATGCATGCCTGCAAGTGCTGCCCCTCACCAGGTGACACCTGTTTCAGACCGCACACTCCTCCCGTCGGTCGCCCCATGCCACTCACACGCCCCTCTCCCCGTCTGCCCCTCTGCGGCACATCCCAGAGGACGCAGTGGGGCAGCAGATGCAGGCGCTGGTGCGGGCGGCCAACGGGCTGCGGGCGGCGAGTGCAGCGCTGCAGCGAGGGGCGTTTGAGACGGTGCACTACGACGAGGTCAACTGCGTCATCGCCTTCAGGCGCCAGGTGGGTGCACTCGCCCTGCTCTCCATGCAAGGCGTTGCTTGACGTCCAGGCACTGTTCTCTCAGTAGGCACTGCTCGAGGTACTGTTGGGCCTAATTGCGGCCTGAATTTAACCTTTAATGTGATCCCCCGTCACTCACCTCCCCACCTTTCGGAACAGACTGAGAGCGAGGCACTCCTGGTGGTGGTGAATGCGGGCGAGGCCCAGTGGGAGAAGGCCGACTATGGTGTTCGGGTGGGTGGCGGTGATCAGCCGTATGTAGAGGTGTTCAACTCGCAAGATGCCGAGTATGGGGGGTGGGCCACATCTGGCAATGCTGGCAAGCAGCTGACCCCGAACCATGGCAAGCTCTTCGTCAACCTGCCCAAGTGGGGCGTGCTGGTCTTCAGACCCGCGGAGTAACAACTGGCATTGCGGCACAACATTGACTGTAGTCTGGAGGCGAAATGGAACTTCTCACTCGGAAAAGCAACTTCTTTCATGTAAAAAATGCATGGGAGTGTAAAACTGTATGCGCAAAGATTATGAAGAGAGTCATGATGTAATACCACTATTTATGAATACGGACCCACATGATTGAAAGAAGTTTGAATTGCTGTGAACTATAAACCTGGTTTGGCTGGCGTTAAACATAAGGTAGGCGCGTGTACGTCGTACGGCCACTTGAGAATCATAATTTTCTCCAGGTGCCTGTATCGGGTGGCCGCGGAACATTCGAGGCGACCTGGAAGCTAGCCAGCCATCCACCACACGCGCGCGCATCATGCTCCGCCCACAACGGCGCCAACCTCACCCGCACCCACACGAAGGAGAAGCGGCCGGGCAGGTGGAAGAGAGAAAAATTCGCCGTTCCCCACCCCACCCCACCTCAATCCTCACCGCCCCTACTGCGTTTCAGCAGCAGCGCCAACCTGTGCGCTGCTGCCTTTCCTTCCCCTCCTAGCTTCCGCCCTCACCCGTCGTTACTACCATGACCATGACATGCTCGCCTTCTTGTGCTGCTGTCACTTTTCTGCCCTAACCTGGATGTTATCAATCGCAGGGAGCCATCGCCGAGTGTGAACGGAGGAATCTTACTTCCTGCTCGTCCTAACAACCGATTAGGTCACGACAACCCTTGATTGCCTGTGGAACAATAGTTCGCCCGAAAGGTTTCATCTTGCTTGCACCGGAAGCCCTGCAGCGCGGGGAGCGAGAGGCCCGTGCGAGCGGGTGAGGAGATGCGCGCGCCGTTCTAGAGAATGCCGTCGCCCGGCGAGCCGCTAGAGCTGCCTGACCCTGCCTGCCTGAGGCGCTCGAAACGCGCACCCAGAGCTGCGTGACGCTCGTGACCCTCGAACCTAGGACGTCGCTTAACCGAGTTTGCGGGATTGGCGGGCCGCTGTGCGAGCTCGTCAAGCGACCCGGTGGTGCCTCGCAGCAGCAAATCGCTCGTATCTGCGCGTTGCGTGTCGTGGGCATCTAGGCTCGTGCAGGACGCACATAATCGCATTGCGAAAGGCTAGGAGCGGTCGTATCGCGGTGCGCGAGTGAGACGGCGCGATGGCGGGGCTAGCGAAGATGAAGAAGAAGCTGCTGCCGCTGCAGACGGGCGGCGGCGTGCGCGCCCCTGACTCGGGCGGCGTGGGGGAAATGCCCGCCATGGCCAACGACCCGTACGCGTCGTATAAGGTGAACTCGATACCCGTTACAAGTGAGGCGTGGCCGCGAATGCCGGAAGCCGTGTCGCACAATTTGCTTCTTGTCATTTCGTTTTTCTTCCACAATCAATTCCTAGTTGCCACGGTGTCATTCTGCGTCGCGGGTGCGACTATCGCTCGTTGACATTTCCCCTCCCCCTCTATATGCTTCTGTGTTAAGCATTCCGCAGCACGCGTAGATCGAGCGTTGAGACGTCACTTCTCTAGTACTCGAGGCGTCACCTGTCGAGCAATCAAGGCTTCGCTTATCGAGTACTCACTACCCAAATCCCGATTCCATTTCCATCCGTGCGTCCCCGTGGCAGGTCAGCGAGGAAGGGCACATCAACCTAATGAGTCAGTCTTTCAACGAGTACGCGATCAGCGAGCAGGGGTTGCAGGTGAACAAGGAGGGGCAGCACTCAGAGGACAGCAGCGCGGGCGGCGAGAAGACGTACCGCTGTGCTTCTAACGAGATGCTCGTGTTCGGCGCCATCGGGTCGGGGGCGAGCAGCGTTGTGTGTAAAGCCATACACATACCCACGCACCGCCTGCTCGCCCTAAAAAAAGTCAACGTGTTTGAAAAGGTCAGCTCTCCGTGCACGCGCGCCCTCCTCCTCGCCCCTCCCGCTCCCCTCCTCCCCGTTCTCAGTTCCTCTCCGCATCCGTCACCGCACCATCGCCATCACCACAACCATCCGCCGGCCCCTTCACCACCTCCACTCCCCGTCACTTCCCCCATTCCGCCCTGCCTCTCCCCCTTCCCCCCTTACCCACACACTCCCTCCTCCCCTTCCGCACTCCCCTTCCCCCCGTTCCCCCCACCTCCTGCGCGAGCAGGACAAGCGGCACCAGCTGCTGAACGAGATCCGCACGCTGTGCGAGGCGCCGGCAGCGCCGGGGCTGGTGGAGTTCTACGGCGCGTTCTACCAGCCCGACAGCGGGCAGATCAACATCGCCCTCGAATACATGGACGGCGGGTCGCTCGCCGACGTGGTGCAGGTCACCAAGACCATCCCCGAGAACGTGCTGTCCGCCATCACGCGGCGCGTGCTGCAGGGCATGCAGTTTCTGCACACGGACCGGCGCATGGTGCACCGCGACATCAAGCCCGCCAACCTGCTGCTCAACCTGAACGGCGTGCCCAAGATCACCGACTTTGGTATCAGCACCGGTCTCGACCACTCCCTCGCCATGGTACCCCGCTCACCCCTGCTGCCCTCTCCCGTCCTGCTCTCTCCTTCATGTGCTGCTGTGTCCACTCCACCATCGCCCTCTCCTCCATCAGCCCGCTCATCCCTCCGTCCTCTTTCTCCAACACCCCCTCCACCACTCCTCTCTCTTCCGTTAATCCGCCTCCTCTCTTTAATTACGCCATTCCCGACCCCACCCTCCCTTCCCCCTCCGGCCACCACAGTGTGCAACGTTCGTGGGAACAGTGACGTACATGTCACCGGAGCGCATAGCCAATCAGAACTACTCCTTCCCCGCTGACATCTGGAGCCTCGGCCTCGCGCTGCTGGAGTGCGGCACCGGCACGTTCCCATACACGGCTGACAAAGGGCCCATCAACCTCATGCTGCAGGTAGCACCTTGCTGATATCCACCCCCCGTGTTTTTCTCATTCTCCCCCTCACGCCACTCCCTCCCCTCGTCTTCCATACCTCTTCTCACTTCCACCGTCCATCCCTCCCACACGCCGCCTTCTTCCTCCACGGTTCCGCTCCTGCTCCTCATGAATGAACCCTCTGGCCCCCACTCTGAATCCCAACCCATCCGTGGCGTCGCCCCCCACGGCCCGGGTGGCATGGCATGGCAGGTGATGGAGGACCCCGCGCCCACGCTGCCGCCCGGCTACTCAGCGGAGTTCCAGTCGTTTGTCAACGACAGCCTCGAGAAGGACCCCTTCCAGCGCCCCACCGCTGAAGTTGTGAGTCATGCACTGCAGGGGTGAGGGAAAGTAAGAGCTGTTCCAATGCCCCACAGCTGAGACTGTGAGATGTGCAGTGCAGTGTTCATGGGGTTCTTTTGTGAACAAGGCAAGAGGAATATGTGTGTGACATTGAGGCGGCTTGTCTGCTTATTAATGGACGCAATACCTTGTGCTTTACTTTCCTGCTTCGTGCACTGCTCTATCTCCACCCACATTTGAGGCGCCTCAAAAGTCGTGCACTGCTCTATCTCCACCCACATTTGAGGCGCCTCAAAAGTCGTGCACTGCTCTATCTCCACCCACATTTGAGGGCCACACGGCGAGCTGCTCTATCGCCAACCACAGCCACCCAAGCAACTATCCGTCACACCACACACTCCTCCCTCTCCTTCCCCTTGCCCCCTCTCCTCGTCTTCTCCCCTTCTCTGCGGGCGAGAGCAGCTGCTGCAGCATCCGTTCATAACCAAGCATGCGGACGAGGACGTGGACCTAGCGGGGTACATTCAGAACGTGGTCAATCCCACCGAGCGCCTCAAAGACCTCTCCAATGTGCGTCACTGCCGCTGCCTCAAGCACCTCTGCATGCACTGCCACTCCACCAACTGCTCTCAATCTTCCGCTTTCTCTCTCCTCTACGTCCTTCCTGCTTTCGTGTACACACAGTTTGTGAATGCTAATGTGGGGTGTGTGTGACTGTGTGTGTGCGGTGCACAGATGCTGATGGTGCATTACTACATGCTGTTTGATGGGCCCGACAAGATGTGGTCGCACATAGAGAGCTTCTACAAGCCCGACGCCACCCTCATGTACGTGTGCTGTGGGGCGTGCCGTCTCATTCATGCCAGGGGCATGCACATGCCTGGCAGCCTCACAGCATGAAGGCGCACCTTGCATCAGCATGAAGGCGCACCTTGCATCAGCATGAAGGCGCACCTTGCATCAGCATGAAGGCGCACCTTGCATCAGCATGAAGGCGCACCTTGCATCAGCATGAAGGCGCACCTTGCATCAGCACGAAGGCGCACCTTGCATCAGCATGAAGGCGCACCTTGCATCAGCATGAAGGCGCACCTTGCATCAGCATTCAACTTGTCTCTGCTCCGTGCCACTTACTGCCACCACCCGATCCATTCCACATGGCACTACCCACACAACCCTCTCCTACCCCTCTCTTTCTCCTCCAACACCCACCACTCCCCTCCCCTATCTCTTCTCTCCCACCCACCCTGCCCTCTTGTCCTCCCGCCCTTGCAGGTTTGGGCACCGGGTGTACACGGGGGGGGAGCAGATATTTGCGACGCTGACGTCGATCCGCACGATGATGCTAGGAGAGGCCAAGTCGGAGCGCCTCGTGCACACCATCGAGAACCTCGAGTGCTGCGCGTACGGGCGCCGCGGCGTCATGGTGCGCGTGTCGGGCGCGCTCGTGGTGGGGCGGCAGTTCATCCCGCCGCCCGGCACGCAGGTGGAGGGCATCACGAGTGGGGGTGCGACGGGGTACAAGGGGCATGGGAAGAAGCTGGGCAGCTTCATCGAGCTGTTTGTGATCGAGCCGGGGGAGGCGTCAGGGTCGTACCTGGTGGCCAAGCAGGAGCTGTACGTGCAGAAGTGACGGGGAGCAGGAGAAATATGCCTAGACGAGAAGGGAGAATGGATGTTTGTGGGATTGGATAGGGCAGACAGACAGACTCCTGGGATGTTGTCGTACACTGGGGTTAAAGGGTGAGCCTGGTGGCATTGGGTGCAATGCAAGAGCGGCATGAGTGGTTGCCGTGATGCATGGCAAGGAGGGATAGTAAGCACGGAGGCCATTTGGAATGAGAATGTTCCCTGCTATGTTCCTCAATGGAGTAATATACAGCAACTGAGCAAAGGAGAGTAGCTTGAAAGGCACAAAGAGAGGGAAGCTAGATGGGCTGTGGAGGTACCATTTGCTGGGACTGCTTCCGTACGATGGTGACTGATCAATGGTGGAAGAGTCCATGCTGCACGAGTCACACGATTCATCTTGTGCGAATTTCAGGTGGACATAACAACGCTGATACGTTTGGCATGCACTGAGAGAGGCCTTGTACAAGCAAAAAAGGTTTCCCCCTCGTTCCTCCTGGTTGCCCGATCGCACATTCACCCTCCTTGGTGCACGACTTCAATCGATACTCGCATGAGGTCCATTTACAAGCCAAGTCTATAGACTAGTAAATTTCGAAGCCTTTTCCTCCTCCTCACGCCTTCCATGCCTTTTTCGGCACCAAGGCAGTTTCTCGTCGGTTTGCGGTATGTCTGCATTAACGGGAACCAATCGCAAATCATTAATGTACAAGCCTACTGTACATCACGGATCACCAAGCCATGACCTAACCTAACTACATCGCTGCACCACAGGAGCATCATATGCGCCCTCTCGAGAGGCTGATCATCACAGGACGCCCGCACGCCCCACTCCAGCAGGCATGCGGAGCAACCACCTGTTGGCGCAGCCGCTGTCGGCTTGCATTTCGCCGACCGCCATGCACCCCCACTGCACGTTCTCCCCCGACTGCTCCATCGATACCTCCGCGCCCCACACTTCCGCGCCGCCCGCCCATGCCCGCTCCGCCTCCGCCGCTGCGGCAACGCTGGACGGACTGCCCAGCGACAAGCTTAAATCGCAGCCGTCCATTTCGGAGGATGATCGCGACAGCGCGACCGCAGCACCCGCGTGCTCCGAGCTCGCGGGGGAGGCGGAGCCGTACGGGGAGAATGCGGAGCGCACCGCCAAGTCCGCGAGGCTCTTGAAGGAGTCGATCGACTCCAGCCGCGGGGGCGACGGTGCCATAACGGACGGCTGAGATCCGTTCCGGGAGGGGCAGTCGAGGAAATGGAAGAACGGTCCGGAGTGAGAAGCAGAGGCGTGAGCGTGGTTGCGAGCGGAAGAGGCGTCTGTTTGAACCATCCGCGCCATGTGCGCCGCGATCGCGACCTCGTCTTCCGACAGCCCTGACGACTGCGAAAACACGTCAACTGACGCGTCGTCGGGCTGGTTACCACCGTCGCGACTCTTCGAAGCGGTCACCTGCGGGACCTGCGCGCGCGTGGACTTGAACTGCAGCTCGATGGCGGACGCGTTTTGGCGCAAGGCGGCTGGCCAATGGGCGTCGTGTTCGACGAAAGGCAGCCATTCGGGAGGCAGAGAGTTAATGGTGGCCGCCTGCTTGAGCGTCGTCGCCCAGCCCCACGCTTCCCCGCGCGCCATGCCTGCACGATCAATGCGCCTCTGGTTCCGTGCGATCCTGCTCGGAATACTAAAGCTAATAAGCGGCTTGTGCGTTGATGAATCTGTGGTGATTTAGATGCGGACGAGTCTGGAATGGAACTGATGGCGGATGTGGAATATATGTGCGCATGTGAAGGCGGAGTCGGTGCAATTGTGTCGGTTCGGTTTGGTTGCGCAGTCTCAAAGAACAAGGGCTGTCTCGGGGAGTCTCCCCACAAACGGCCTTGGAGTTTGGCTTGGCGCGTGATTTGCCTTTCGCCTCGCCGCTGCACGCCACGACACGCAGAACGCAGCTGCGCTTCGGCGAGGGGGCTGGCACTTGATCTCCAATTAGCGCGCCCCGATGTTTGCTCGCGAGGGGGGAGGGGGGAATTTGGGAAACATGCGGACCGGTCAGGTTGGATTTGAGTTTCGGTTGGTTGAGGCAGCGGTGTTGGCGGCAGGCGGTGGTCCAAAGCAGGTGGCAGATGGTGAATGGCTAGCAAGAAATGTTGTTGCAAAACTTTGCTGTAATCTGCGCGGGATGCGGGAAACGGGTCTGGCGCCATCAGGGTTGGGAGGGCCCCTTCAGGTGGTCGCGCAAAGTACCGGCTCACTCAGTAAGTACAATGCTTAGTCTATTCATGGTTTACATGGGCAAGAAAAAACCCACTAACTTTCACCACACAAAGGGGACTAAATGGTGTTGCTTAGTCAGGGTAGTGCCTCAAACCAGGGATCTCTTTGACTGAAGTATCCTTTTTGGCAAAGTTGTAACATACCTCGTTTCAATATTGCATTTTCGGAAGTTTTGATTTTCTGTGGTCATACAGAGTCGTATTGTAACGAGTTTAATGCCATCAGAGTCGTTCATCATCTGTGTTTCGAGGCCCTCGCTTACATACATCGCTAGGCCCCGCCACATGTTCTCTTCACCGATCCCCACGCATCAACTGCACCCATGGCAGGTGGCGCGGAAAGCCTTAGCTGCCGATCGATTAGGCCAGTCTTCGGTATTGCACTCCACCAGAACCTTTGTCGACACGAGCGTAAGGCATTTTCGCGCCACTCTTTTCAGCCTGTGCAGGCAGACGCCGCCTCCCAGCCGGTTTGTGCACTTGCAACCCCGCAATGTGCCGTCAGCAAGTAACGGGAGTTTTTTCTCCACCCTGGATTGCTCGGAAGAGCGCGCGGCGTATTGGCGGAGCGTAGAGAGCGCTCGAGATGGTATGGCGCTTGTTAGCCCTTCGCTTCTTTCGGGTCTTGCTCATCCTAGCTCACATTCGCCGCACGGCCCCTCTCCCCTCTCCCGCTTCTGCGTGTCTGGGCCTTACCCTTTCCGATTTCCCCAACTGTCGCGCACCAGGCGCGCTTCTGGTCGACCCCTACGCTGGTCTGCTGACCGCGGCGGAGGGATCAGAGCGGGAGAGAGAATCAGGGGGACAAGGGGATGCGGGAGATGATGCGGAGGAGGCGGCGGGGGAGGCGGCGTCGTATCTGGTGGCGACGCGATTTCTGGACGACGCGATTGAAGAGGCGGTGGCGCAGCTCGCGGGCGGCACAGAGGAGGTCCGCCAGGTAGCGACTCATGGCTGCTGCTCGCACTCATGGCATGCCAACACCCTCGTCCCTCACTCTCGCATGCTTGTTGTCTGGCGCTGATTGAAGCGGCGGCACCATTGCAGGTTGTTCTTCTAACGGATGGGTGTGACACGCGCCCATACCGCGTGGCGTGGCCGCGCCCCTTGGTGGTGTTTGACGTGTCGCCCGCCGCGCCTTACACCGCCTGCCACAAGCTCCTCCTTGGTGAGAGACCCGCTCTCACACCTGCCTTGCCCATTCAGACCCTCCTCTCCGCACTGTGATTCCCCAGCACTTGCTTTATTGCAATCAACATATTTGTGGGCCATGCTCCCTTTCTATCAGAGGCTGGAGCGCGGCCTTCCTGTGGATCGGTGGTGCGCCACGTGTCAGCTGACCTGTCCACTGGGGAGGACTGGCGGGACGAAGGTTGGGGCGAGAAGCTGCAGAGGCTCGGGTACAGAGGAGACAGGCCGAGCCTGTGGGTGGTGCAGGTGCGGCTCAAAGCTTCTGCAGCAGAACACATGGCCTGCCTCCAGCTCTGACTGCTTTTCCTTGTGCCTACCCTTGAAACTGACGCCCCTCCTCCTCTCCCCTTCCAGGGCCTGCCCCACCTGTCCCCGTCAGGCCTGAAGGCCATTCTGGGCCATCTGCAGGGGCTGCTCATGGCAGGCTGCCAAGTCATTGGGGAGGTGCCTTTGCAGGCCATCACTCCCCAGGCGGCTGCTGGCACAGCAGGAACAGAGCCACAAGAGGACTCTTTGGTTGCTGTCGCTGCTCTCTCCTCCCTATTTGCCTCCCATGGACTTCTGGCTGAAGTGCATTCATTTGTCTCAGTTGCTGCCCTGTATGCTCAACAGTGCCCCACAGCCCGCTCTCTCCTAGATAGTTTGGACAGGACTGATGGGCCAGCACCGAGGAATATGATGCTGTTTTCGGCAACACAGCAGCGAATGTCGGATGCACAGGTGAGCATACTAGTTTCAGTCAAGTTATGGTCACAAACGAAGTTATCCCAACTGATGCCAAATCATGCCTCTCTTGAACCATCCAGATTGAGCTTCTGACAGAAGAGATGCGCATTGCAGAGGCCTGGGGCGATGAAGAAGGCTTTGAGGACCTGTCTTGAGAGTTCTCTTCACTAATAAGCATGTTCAAGTATGTTATTGATTGTTTATGAAATTATTGGTGTACCGGTACCATGATTTCTTGGAGCATACAAATATCGAAGCACTCACTGAAAGAGTTCGTCCTTTCTGACAGACTTTCGCGTAACTTCTGTAACACATCGGGGAGAGACAAATGCCTTGCAGCGATTTGGCGGTGTCGCTTCGTAAAGGGATCACCACATAGAGTCGATGGCGAACGCCACGTGTGCGGCCCACACAACTAGGGAGTCCCCGCGCCCGCGGTCAACCTTGGTACTGTCAGCAACGGAACAAGGCTGGTTGCCAGTGCTCTCCTCGATAGGCTGACCAGGCATTTTCCGACGAATCGCAGATGCTGTTGGTTGAGAATATGGGTGGGACCCGTTGGTGCCTTGACAGTCAACATATGATCAACCCACCTTCAAGCTGCATTGATTACTAGAACTGTCCCACCTCAAGCTCTTCTCAAGCCACCTCTCTAGTCTGAGGATTCAGCTCCAGTAGTCCGTCATTTAGCTCAGAAATCACGCAAAATCATGGCGAACCAACGGACTGTTGCGGCTCATCCGTGGCACGACTTGGAAATTGGTACGGACTGCTTTAGTAGCAAGCTTGGCCGATCATATGCTATCTTCCAGGCCCAGAAGCTGCTGGTCAAGTTCGCGTACTGACATTTTTGCCCGATCGCATCGTATTCTCCAGGTCCAGAAGCTCCTACTATCTTCAACGTTGTCGTAGAAATCTCTAAGGGAAGCAAAGTCAAGTACGAGCTCGACAAGAAGTCCGGCCTTATCAAGGTACGCTTGCTTGTTCCGTCAGATCTAAGTTCCTAGACATGTTTTGTTATCTTGTGTCATATTCTTCAATTCATATCTGTTCCATCATTTTTTGCAGGTCGACCGGATCCTTTACTCTTCGGTGGTGTACCCTCACAACTATGGGTTCATCCCGAGGACTCTCTGCGACGACAACGACCCAATGGATGTCCTCGTCTTGATGCAGGTATGCATCGGTCGATGAGCAGGCAGTTCCAACTTGACCCATGAAACACCCACCGGGAATCACATATTATGTTCGAAACGGACAAATATATCGCGAATCTGATACCACGCGTGAATCCAATTAGGACATGGGAGTGTTTTCATAAGGATTGACCTTGATTGGATAACTTTTGTATCCCTCTTTTCATTCCAACAGGAGCCAGTGATTCCTGGATGCTTCCTTCGCGCCAGGGCCATTGGGCTTATGCCTATGATTGATCAGGTTAGTGGTCTTTTTCGTATTGTGACGGAACTTGTGTGATTGCATTCCGTATCCTACCACGAGATTGACGAGCTGACACGTGTCTCCAATTCAGGGAGAGATGGACGACAAGATCATTGCTGTGTGCGCCGACGACCCAGAGTACAAGCATTTCAAGTCTATTGACGAGCTCCCGAGGCACAGACTGCAAGAAATCAAGCGTTTTTTCGAGGACTACAAGAAGAACGAGAATAAGGAAGTCGCAGTCAACACTTTCCTCGGCGCCACGGAAGCCATTGAAGCTGTGAAGAAATCCATGTAAGCTCATCAGCAGCGTTCCTTACCCTGCAACATGTTCTAAAAACTCGTGTTTTCGTCTTTGAGTTTGACAACCTTGGCTGCTGATAGTCTCTTTTCGTTGTAAACTGCTTCTGCTTCCCATGCTTCCCCTTCCGAGCACCTCTATACGTTCCTTTCAATTTCAAGCCTTTGCATATTCAAACCCCCTTACTCCATCCCTCTTCCTCCCTGTCCTCTCTTTATCTCCCCCCCTTTCTCTGTCTCCCTCCTTTCATCCTCGTTCCCCTGCAATCCCCCCCTCTCCCTCAACTTTCCGTCACGTTAACTAGCTTTCCAGACTCTGCTAATTCAGTATCGTTTTGTTTCCTGCCTTGACTTCTTTGTTTCATTACACAGGGATTTGTACGGCCAATACATCCTGGACAGCTTGCACAAGTAACCGCTGGCTTATGCATATCTGTTTGTTGTATTAGATTATAATTCAAGTTCTACCCTCTCCTTTGCAACGTTTCACCAAGAGCTACATCATTGGAAACACATAACCCATGCATTCTAGGCAAGCTGAATTACAACCACGCCAATTTTCACAATAGCACTGAGATGGCTCAAACACTTGTCAGTAGTAGCAGTCCATAGAGTTTGTACACAAAACAAACATGCCAAGAGAGCCCATGGCAGAGCATATTCTTAGGGCGAGTTCCTACGCCTGATACAGGCGTAGGAACACGCCCTTAGGATTATCAATGTGTGACGTTCCTGAGCACATCTATGTTCCAATGTTGCATTCTCTCTCCCCCTCTACATTGAAATAGTAGGTACAGTTCAATTCACAAGACATACCGGTACAGACTATTCTGCCAGCTGGGGGCTGTGTTCCCCCCATACTAATTATGGCAAACATTTGCCCTTGCAGCAAGAATAAGGGAGCTGGCTATTGCCATGCTCACGGGACCGCATACTGCTCATTATCACACAGCAGAGAAAGCCTGGTCACCAGATCCTAACTGAATCTCCCTCACTGCTGCCCGCAACATGTCCCGCTGAGATTGGTCCACTTGCCCCTCCGCCTGCTCCCAGTCACACACACACGAAGCGCAAAGCAGAGCAAAGGGAGGATGTTATGAGAATGATGTAAACGCTGAACATGTTGCGTACTGAGGCAGTGTCTGTGAGGCGCACTCACCATGAGCGAGTCGAGGTACTCACCATGAGCGAGTCGAGGTACTCACCATGAGCGAGTCGAGGTACTCATCATGAGCGAGTCGAGGTACTCACCATGAGCGAGTCGAGGTACTCACCATGAGCGAGTCGAGGTACTCACCATGAGCGAGTCGAGGTACTCACCATGAGCGAGTCGAGGTACTCACCATGAGCGAGTCGAGGTACTCACCATGAGCGAGTCGAGGTACTCACCATGAGCGAGTCGAGGTACTCACCATGAGCGAGTCGAGGTACTCACCATGAGCGAGTCGAGGTACTCACCATGAGCGAGTCGAGGTACTCACCATGAGCGAGTCGAGGTACTCACCATGAGCGAGTCGAGGTACTCACCATGAGCGAGTCGAGGTACTCACCATGAGCGAGTCGAGGTACTCACCATGAGCGAGTCGAGGTACTCACCATGAGCGAGTCGAGGTACTCACCATGAGCGAGTCGAGGTACTCACCATGAGCGAGTCGAGGTACTCACCATGAGCGAGTCGAGGTACTCACCATGAGCGAGTCGAGGTACTCACCATGAGCGAGTCGAGGTACTCACCATGAGCGAGTCGAGGTACTCACCATGAGCGAGTCGAGGTACTCACCATGAGCGAGTCGAGGTACTCACCATGAGCGAGTCGAGGTACTCACCATGAGCGAGTCGAGGTACTCACCATGAGCGAGTCGAGGTACTCACCATGAGCGAGTCGAGGTACTCACCATGAGCGAGTCGAGGTACTCACCATGAGCGAGTCGAGGTACTCACCATGAGCGAGTCGAGGTACTCACCATGAGCGAGTCGAGGTACTCACCATGAGCGAGTCGAGGTACTCACCATGAGCGAGTCGAGGTACTCACCATGAGCGAGTCGAGGTACTCACCATGAGCGAGTCGAGGTACTCACCATGAGCGAGTCGAGGTACTCACCATGAGCGAGTCGAGGTACTCACCATGAGCGAGTCGAGGTACTCACCATGAGCGAGTCGAGGTACTCACCATGAGCGAGTCGAGGTACTCACCATGAGCGAGTCGAGGTACTCACCATGAGCGAGTCGAGGTACTCACCATGAGCGAGTCGAGGTACTCACCATGAGCGAGTCGAGGTACTCACCATGAGCGAGTCGAGGTACTCACCATGAGCGAGTCGAGGTACTCACCATGAGCGAGTCGAGGTACTCACCATGAGCGAGTCGAGGTACTCACCATGAGCGAGTCGAGGTACTCACCATGAGCGAGTCGAGGTACTCACCATGAGCGAGTCGAGGTACTCACCATGAGCGAGTCGAGGTACTCACCATGAGCGAGTCGAGGTACTCACCATGAGCGAGTCGAGGTACTCACCATGAGCGAGTCGAGGTACTCACCATGAGCGAGTCGAGGTACTCACCATGAACGAGTCGAGGTACTCACCATGAGCGAGTCGAGGTACTCTGCTTGCTCTGCGAGCTGCTGCTTCCACACGGCGATGGCCTCATCCCTCTCCCTCATCGCCTCCATCGCCTCCTTCAGCGACAGCACCTCCGCCACCAGCTCCTCCCGTTGCTGCCACACACACACGTGACCAGCGGGCATGAGCGACAGACACAGGAGGGCAGCATGTGCCAGGGGCGAAGAGGGTTAAGGCACAAAGCAGTGAAGAAAGCATGAGAAGGTGGGACGGACGAGGCTGGTAAAAAAGGAAATCCACCACTATTAGCACGCTGATTCCCCAACCCTCCAAGACTACCCAAATGAGCAGCACTCTCTTTGCACCTCCTACCCCTGCCTGTTGCTGCCAGCGCAAGTAAACGCACCTGCTGTTCCTGCAGGGACTTCTTGCGCGCGTTGAAGATGCTCTCACTGATGTCCTCCGCAGTGCGCCGTGCCTCCTCCACCTCCGCTGCCAGCTCATCCGCCCGCCGCCGCGCCGCCTCCAGCTCCGCTATCAGCTTCTGTGGGTCCTGCCTGCTCCGGTCAAGGTGACAGGGGGTGGAGTTTAGGAAGTGGTGGTGGAGAGGGAAGGATGGAGAAAGGGTGGGGCTTTGAGGTGCAGGGATCATAAGAAGAAAAGACGGCAGAAAGGGCAAACCCAAGGTTACAATGAATGTGGTGCTGTGCATGCAATCCCATGCAGGTGAACCGTGCAACCATGCATGTACACAAAGGCATGCAATCCATGATCCCACTGGCATCCCCCACTGCGCCACCCTCCCAGCAGCAGCACGACACTCACTTGAGCAGGCCTGGCAGCCCGCCTCCCGACCCGCCAGCAGTGAGGGCGTCAGCCAGCTCGGCCTCCCTCCTCTCCGCCGCCTCCAGCTCCTCGTTCAGATCCGCTATGCGCATCACCAGCCCCGTCACCTGTGCGCACGGGAGACACACCGCAGGGAGGGCACAGCCAGCAGCGGAGCAAGGCACGTTGAAGAGCAGAGAGGGACGCGGAGCAAGCGGAGGAGGCATGCACAGCATTCATCACCTATAAAAGCAGCTCCTCCCCCCCAAATCTGTTACAAAGAACACCACACTCCATTCATCTCCCCTCCTCATGCCCACACAGCTCGCCCACCTGGCCAGCGAACGCCTCGGCCTCGGCGTTGGCGGCGTCCTCACGGGCGGCCAGCAGAGCCACCTGCGTGCTCAGCTCCTCGATGCGCTGGTTGGCCGCCGCCAGCGCCTGCTTGCTGGCCTGCTCGCGCTCGCGCAGCGCCGCCACCTGCCCCAGGAACAGCCCCACACACTCGTCCACCGTCGCCCCCAGCGCCCTCCGCGTCTCCTCCACCTCCTCCTCCACTCGCCTCTGCTCCTCCCGCTCTTGCGGCGTTTGCGGGGGTGACGCGGGGGTGGCGGTGGGTGGGGAGAGCTGCTGGGCGATGAAGGAGGAGGGCGGCAGGGCCGTGCCGTTCACGGATGAGGTTGATGAGGGCGATGACCGAACCTGCAAAGGGGTGGGGAGTAGGGAGTGAGTGGTGGGGCCGGTGGGAGTGTGACAGGCAGGTGGTCATGGTGCATGAACATGGGCTAGTGGCCATGGGCCAATGCAAATGGGCATGGGCATGAAGCCATGCAACGCCACCAGGCACGCACGGGCACGGGTTCAGCGGAGCGAGAGTCAAACACCACCGCAGCATCCCATGGCGCCGCACTGTCCCTCCCCTGCCCAGCCCCCCCTCTGCCTCTCTCCGCCGCAGCACTCCTCTCCTCAGCCGCCGCCAGCCGTTCGCTCATCTCTGCCAGCCGCTCATACGCCGCCTTAGCCGCCGCCTTGGCGGCCGCCTCGCGCTGCTCCACGTCCTCCACCTGGCGGAACAGCTCCTCCACGCGCGCATTGGCCCGCATGGCCGCCTCCACCGCCGCCGCCTCGCTCTCCTCCACCAGCGCCAGCTTACGACTCGCCGCCTCGGCTTCCCTCACCGCCACGGCCTCGCGCTGCTGCACGGCTGCCACCTCGCTGTGCAGCTCCGCCACGCGCGCGTCCGCCCGCTGCGCCTGCGCCTTGGCCTCCTCCTCGCGCTCGATCAGCTCCGACACGCGTGTCGAGAGGAACGAGATGTGGTCGTTCGCCGTCTGCAGCGCCTCCTGCAGCTCTGTCTCGCGGCGGGTCAGGTTCACGATCTGCTCCGACAGCAGTCCGATGCGCCGGTTCGCCGCGTCGATCTCCTGCCGCGTGCCCGCGTCCCGCGCCTGCAGCGCGCCCAGCTGTCCGCTCACCGCCTCGTACCGCCGGATCGCCTCGTCCGCCGCCGCCTCGCGCTCGCGCAGCTTGGCCACCTCCTTGGAGATCTCCCCCACCGACCGCTCCGCCGTGGCTGCTGCGGCCTTGGCGGCCTGCAGGTCGCTCACCAGCGCGTCCACCCTCACCTCCAGTGCATCCGCCCGCTCGCGCGCCGTCCTCTCACTGTCTCTGATCTCCGCCTCGCGCGCCGCCGCCTCCTCCAGCTGCTCCGACAGCACGGCGACTCGTTCAAGCGCGGCGCGCGTGGCGGCCTCGGCCTGCGCCTCCTTGCGTTTGAGCTCCGCCACCTTGCTGTTGAGCTCCTCCAGCCGCTCCTTGATGTCGCCCACCGACCCCAGCCCCTGCAGCTCCGACGCCATGCTCTCGTACCGCCGCTGCGCCTCCTCCGCCACCTGCTTCGCCGATGCCTCCTTGCGCCCCAGCTCCTCCACGCGCCGCAGGATCGCAAAGTACCGCCGGTCCGCCGCGCGCGCGGACGTGCGCGACTTCTTCTCGCTCTCGCGGATGGCGCTGAGCTGGCGCAGGAAG